GTGATTGGATCAAAGGATAAGAGTACAATTGAATACATGGAAAAATCAAAAGAAAAAAAAATCCCATTACAAAATGTACGAAACACTGATGACAAACACTGTGGCTCACAGACTCGTCTGTGTAAAGAATGCACTGCCGCCTCTTCTCTAAGACAAATTTTTTGTACATTTTCTTTGTGTGGTTCTGAGCACTGTTACACTGGAAACAACACCCTATGCACACATGTACAGTTGTTAGCCAAAATTTATGGCGTTGCCCAAATAAACCAGGCTCACATGGCAGGGCATGTGAGGTTGACAGCATGATTTAACCATCAGGAGATTAGGCCCAACTTGGATTAAGTTAAATCCATATTTTTCCAACTGCCTTTTACCAGGCCCAGAAGGATCCATTGAAAAAAGTAAAGACATAATAGGATTAGAATCTAGAAAAATGCAAAATGCAAAGTATCGCAAGACACAAAGTCTCTTGCTTTTATCTACTTCAGCAAACATATTTCACTTGCTTGGCAGTCACTGATATGCCTTCACATACATGCACTCCCCCAATATGAAGTATCTTGAAGAAAAAACATCCTTGGCAAAGTGGGACAAGCTGATCCTAGGTGTCGAGGCTAATCGAACAGGATTACACGCAGAGTGAGCCTTGACAAAGGCCCCGCCTAAACGATTGATTCCAGGATTACTGAAGTGTGACGTAAGTTGGGAGATGCAGTTACCGTAACACACACCTAGGGTAGCTCTGCTAATGAGTTTGCTTATGTCACTCTTTTGTGTGGCACAATCTGCCTGGTCAAAAGTTTAATCACTACGTCATACGAACGCATCTGGGCTCCCTGCAACAGTGTCACTCCAAATGAAGTGCAGAAAAAAAAAAAACACATCAGACGCCACAACAAAACAGCCATTACTATCTGCGAACAGATAAATTATGAATGCCACAAACTCAACATCTTTTAGATCGGGCAAGGACCTTAATACCACCGCTGCCTAGCGACCAGTCCTGACAAACTTTGGGGCAGAGAAATGTTTCACGTGGCATTATCTGAATATCAGCAGGGATCCGAGAGATTTCTTTCTAAACTTTCTTGTGTATTCAGTTCATGAATGAGTTGTCCAAAGATTTTTACAAATAAACTGTATTGAAGAGAACAAACACCTGGAGGTGCATACATGTACATGTAGGCCTACATGTACATGTTCACTATACATGTACATAAATCATGAACAGGATATCAGTGACGTTTTAGTGCTGACTGTGGATAAGTACCAGGGTAAAAGAGTAAGCTCTCCCATCCTGCTGAAAAGGTTCTCTGTACATGTACTTAGTCTGTTTAAGTCTCCAGATAACTGCTGTTACAAGACGGCAGTAACTTGCAGGAAAATGAATGAAAAAAAGTCCTGATCTGAGGCAAGCGGTTTGACCCACATATCTAAGGTATGACCAAAGGCATGATCATAATTGCCTGGTTTGTGTGATATTGTTTATCACACGCCAACATGTACATGCACAGTAGACCAAGTGATTAGTTTTTTGGTTGACTTGTTTCTTATTGTCTGCTTGCTGGAGTTTCATATGGCTGTGATTTTCGATTCAAGACAAGTAGTCGTGTACAGGGGTACTTCTGCGTGAACAAGCTGGAAAGTTTAACATATACAGTAGATTTGGCAAAAAGGGGTGAATAAAACCTCGTAGGTACACATAGGGTGGCCAAAACAACACCCAGAACTACTATTATCCAACAACTGGCACTCACCCAAGTCATTGTAGTCAGCTGTAAAAAAAATACAAATGCATCCTTGAGGGGTAACAGTGGGCAGGTCAAGAACCCGCATTCACAGTGTCCGAGGCGGAAAGATTTCAGTGCCTTGTATTGATTGGTCTTTTGGTTGGCTTTGCTGGGTGGGTGAGCCCCACTCAATGAAGGGTGACTTGAATCGAAAGCTTCAAGGCTTCACGGAAACCCTCCATTCATCTGTGGGCAGAATCCTGGCATCAGCCGCATTTTGCAATTTTGTTTGTTTAGTTCCTCCGCTGTATGTAAACATCCAGTTTACAATTGTTACAGTTTGCAGACTCCCATGATGTTTGAATGAGTTTCGGGATTAATTCTTTCCGGGGGGCAAATATTCAAAGAACCAGCTGCATACATGTAGCTGGAACTGGAAGAAAAAACATTATATGCTTATATTGACGTGGAACAGGTCTGCTGGGGATTCCACAAAATGTGCAAACATTTTGTGTAGCTGGGGTACATGTATATTGTTCCTGGTTGTGCGCCACCCAGTATAAATGAATGTCAAAATATTGAAACCCCTTGTAAATTTGGTTGCATACAAATAGCATGCATATGTGTACACCTGCTTGAACAACAGGTCCACTGGCTGGTCCCGGAGATACGGAATTTGACATGAATTGACCCCCAAGACTCTCTCAACAAGGACAAGGACTCGGGCTGAGCAGTGGTCTGTGGTCATCCCCATGGAAGGTTGACTGCTTTCAATAAATTGGTAAACTCCTGGATTCAGGATTATAATGTACTTCCATTGAGGAATGAGATTTTCAAGGGATGGGGATAAAAGTTTGAAGGAAGTTACAAAAACAACTATAGACCTATGTGCATGTACATTGTACTGTAGGCCTTTGCATACACACCCATACACTGTACCTGTTTTACATACAAAGTGAGGACTCTCCTTTGTTCTCCTGTGGTTAAGGAAACTTGAGGAAAAATGCTCTTATTTCTCCAACTTGGATAATTCCTTCGAGCTGGAGTTTTGATGATGATTTCCTGGACTGTTCCTCTTCATTTTGCTACAGATAACTTTGAACCCCAAACTGCCTCTGAAACTGTTTTTCAGAGAGAGGAAAACATTGTGTGGACGTGTGCGAGTCCTCACAACGCCATCATACCCTAGTGGACTTCTTTTGTGCAGAGGTCTACACTATGTATGCCACGCATAAACGTTAAACATGCATACATGCACACATCAATAGGAAGGATTTGAGAGAAACTATTAAAAAAACCACATGATGAAAACAACAAATTTTGAATATCTTTTAAAATATATTTTGTACAAATAACCGGTCATACTTGACCAGATGAAACATTACAGAGAGTCACTCAAATGGTTCTAGTGTTGCCTTTCTTATTCATCAGTACTTGTTATACCACGGTCGTAGATAGTGAATCTTTATTGGTCGTGAATCACGTGAAATGCTACAAGGGAGCATGTATCATTCAAGCGTTGAGTGCACTGGCGATGTTGCTGGCCACAAAAAGTGATGGATAACGGTGATCTTTCCCGCAGTTGATGTGTCGTGTCTACTGCATTGTAATAGTGTAATCTTGGGTACGAGGGTAGATAGCCGCGGTGGTTTCTGCTGTGATCGCCATTGCTGTTTAAATAAAATGCTCATGGTATTGTCTTTTCTCGTCTGCTCTTTAATCTTGTCAATACTTTTCAATTGAATTTGGTGTAAATAATGCCTGGAAATTCAACCACTTGACAAAAACTCCATTTATGAATCCCAGGTTTCTCTAATAAACCAGTTTGTTATAAATCCTACATGTAGATTTCTCCCCCCCCAAAAAAAAACAAACAAACAAACAACCCAACACCCCAACAAACAAACAAACAACCCAACAAACAAACAAAAACATACATGCATGTCAACAAAGAACATCACAATCAATAAGTTTCCTTGTAACTTAGTCCATATATCACTTATCTTGCAATAAATTATGCATTATTACACATCAGACCGCTCCAGTGTAATGTACATGTATGACCTGACCATGTTATAACAAACCAATTGTTGCCTGCAGTGACCGGGGTCCATGTGTTTTGTACACCCTCGGCTTTGCCTTGAGTGCCTTTTGCCCACCCCGGGTGTACAAACACCATGGACCCCTACATCGCAGGCAACAATTGTTAAATGTACAACATTGCATCTTGTTGATCACCATGTACATGTGCATCCATACTCTGTATGCTGTAGAGCACATACAATACATGTGTACATGTGACTTTCATGCCACCACTGCCAGGTGAAATTTGCGAGAAGTGAGTTTTGCCAAGAATCTCTGACCTCCACTGACTGGAAATTATATGTGGGCACACAACAGATGCAAGAGGGCGCTGTAACAAATACCACCTTCATCTGGTGGAAAAAAATTTAAGCCTCGGGAATACACATGTAAAGGTAGCGTATTCGTTAACAAAAAATCACATACACTACATTTATCACAATCATTGCATGCACTGCTTTTTAGATTCTAAAACGGGCTTCTGGACAGAAAAGGCTGTACCTGTGGAACTGTGGTAAAAGGTTACTATACGGCTGCAGGGAAGTGCTGTTGTTTTGATGTTTTGGGGAACAATTTACAAGCCTGAAAAAAACACAAGCTTGAAATCTGATTCAGACATGCCATCACTTAATTTGAAACATCAAATTACTATCTGAAAATGTTCATTAACCCTAACAGCCCTGAATCCTCCAATTTAATATGATTTTGCGCACACCCTAAGGAGTTAGGCTTTTTAAAAAAAGTAACATTTGGGGCAAATTGGTCTTTTAATGTTCCACTAGCAAATGGAGGCATTTCAGTACAAATCGGTGTGTAACTTTTATGTAAAGGCTGTCTGAAGCAAAATTATATAAAAACGTTATGTTTGTAGTACTAAAATCAGATCAGAGGCACAATCATAATACAAGTCATTTCCTCATGAGCCTTCAGTTACATGGATTATACATGTGCTTACAATGGTTAACATACATGTACATAACATCTCAGCTTTCATGTGGTATAAGCACAACATATTTCACCATGTGAGGGGGCTTCCCCGGACAGCATTATACATTGTACATGTACATGCAGGTGAAAAAAACACACTGACAACCCATTCCAAGGGATCCATGATGCACATTCTCCCAAGGAATTTTATTCCAATGGTGTCTTCTGGTGAGATAGTCGCTATTTTTGCAGGTTTCTTACCTCATGCTCCCTGCGGAGGTCCTCCTGCTCAAGCTCCGCCTCCTCTTGTTCCTCTAGGGCCTGCCCATCAAAGTGTAGACTGGTTCCCGGATTCATGTCTAGTCACTCAGTTTTGGTCAAACTTCACTGACTAGCTTTGACATTGTCAGCTTTGAGAAACTGCATGAGAGGAAACATGATGGATTATTGCAAACATGAGCAACATTTTAAAGAAAAGTTACCTTTAAAAATAGAATTGGGACCTCAAACTTGGCAAGGAAAAAAAATGAAACTTCATCTTTACTTCATGAAAATTCTTTCAGTGGAAGACAGAGTAAAGTTAGCATAATTTGGGTGTTTTTTTTCTATGCTTGGGGACCCTGTCTGGTACTAACATGCAAAAATATAGTCTGAACTTGACAAACTTAACATTGATATTTACACTCTATTACAGGTAACCTGGAAACAACAGAGGGAAATGGAGGGACGCAACAGACGTTTCGTAAGTTCTCCATTATGTTCGAATGTTTCGAGAGACAACTATTAATTATTTTTGCCTTCCGTAGAACTTGATGTCCAAGAATGAATATGTCGTTGGATTTTGACAGATTTAGGAAACGGCCGGTTGGTAGTTTTTTGTTTAACCTTTCATTATTCTCATACTAATTATGCGGAACCTTGAAAATGAAATACAGGTAAGAATAAAAACTTGTACTGTGTAGCCTTCTAAACAACAATCATTCTGGTGTTACATAACTTCACACAGTAAACATGAAAACTGAAAGTCAAGGCAGTGGATATCTGACCAGTTCACAGTCCAGATATACACTTACTTCTGCAGATTATCATAAGATTGTGCTTTCGTTACACATTGATTCCGACATGTACAAGGGATTTGAATGACTGTTTAGAGCGTTGGGAAGGTGATGTTACACAAACAGAAAAGAATCGTATACTAAGCAGTTTATTGCGTGAGTGTCAAGAAAACAAAGACCAGGTTTGCCAGCGTTGTCTAGAGAGAAAATATTCTTGGATCTGGAATGAGTCAAACCAAATTACACAGAATTTTTGGCTAAACAAGTCATTCCATGCAGTGGTAGAATGAGGCTGCCACCTGGGACAAAATCACGACAGCCATGATCATTCATTCCCAGAGCTATCTCATTCCATAACTCCAATTTTAAACTTTTAATAGGTAATGCAAATGTAACACACACATGTACGTGTTACAATATCTTTTTTTCATCATTTTTATGACCTGTACTTAGTTCACATATGGATATTTTTACTGTTTATTTTCACTATTTTTATTTTACTTGTATGATTCCACTGTAATACCCTGTAATAGTTTGCTCCGCTGTTATTGTTACTGTATTGAGGTTTTGTTTTAATATGTTGCATTGATGTTGTAAACCACTGAGCAATCTCATTTCATTTATGGAGTAATAAAGTTTTGAATTGAATTGTTGAATCTCACGATACTTGTTATTCCTTTCACGATTTGCGGCTCTAAGAGTTTTTTAGGGGAAAAAAGTCAGAAGTTGCACTTACATACGAATTCAGAGTCAATGTAGGTAGGGAAGTGGACCAACATTTGTCTTGGTAAAATTTATAAATATCTCATTCCAAAAATTCGGCATAGTTCAGTTGATGTGGCAGTACAACAGCAAAACAATATCAGAACCATGAATCAATCTAACATCCACTGCCTTAGGAAAAATCATCCAGAACTCTAAGGATCACAACAAGAAAACTAGGAAAATATCGAGCAATGCAAGTAGGAAAAATACTGGATACAAAATATTCAATTTAAAATGTGGAAGACAGTACTAATCAGTAGTACAGAATAACAGTGTGAACTTTTGGGTCACAGGTAAATGGTAGTTGGTACGGAAAGTTTTACATTCTGTCAATATGTCAAGGACTTGAACCACATTACGGTAACATTTCAATACCAGCTGTAAATATAATGTGTGACCACATGACTTAAAATATACACACGGTATTAGCAGGCCCAACCGCAAAAACTTAACTTATTACAATATTGGTATTAAGTATGTTTGGCACAGAGTACTATGACCTCAAAAAGTAGAAATAAACTTAAATCAAGGTTAAATGGCAAAACAAAGGCAACAAAAGGTGCCGGGGTATCCTGCAATTGAGCAAAAAAAAAAAAAATGGGCCTAGGCCTAAATGTGTAACAACTCATGAACCTCTGTACTTTTTTGACCACCTGTCACACCTGTTCTCATCTACATGTACATGTATATCTGTTGACACACTTTGATACATTCATGACATTTGGGACCCAGTCATGCCAGTTGTCATTTTAATTTAAAGTAACTTAGCGAAGGGAATCTGGACATGGGCATGGTGGGCATGCAATAGGAGCAAACATGGCAAAGCATGGCCATGGCCTGATTGTGGCGGCACACAGTGAGCATCAGGTGAGCGAAGGCTCAACTGCCAGTCCCTTGACATGGCTGCGCTGAGGCGCTAGCCATTGCTACTATCATGGAGGAAGGACACAAACGCTAGCTAGCTGCATTAATGCCAGCTAGCTGCATTACATGTGTAGCCTGTACAGTCGATTCTCGTTACAAAGAACACTGTTAATGTGTTACATGTATAACAAAATACTGATTTTACTTTCAGGAATCCCAATTTCTTGAATTGTTATGTGTTTCTTTGTTTTGTTCAATCCTTTATAACAAAGTCCTGGTTATTACAAAGTACCTGTAATTTGTCTGGTCTCTGCAACTTTGTTATAAGTTAACGAGAGTCGACTGTACATACTGTCTGACTGTAGGCCTACGTACATGTAGGCAAACGAAACCGCACCGACATGACGGGAGAATTTCCTGACATGTCTGAGGGTTGCTGAATTTCAAGCCAGCTTATTCTATGGCCAGCAAAACTTGTCTGGACCTGTGTGATCTTATATAAAAGAGTGTAATCACATCTTAACTGATTACTTGAAAACAATATTCACCTCACGACACTTCCAAGATTTTCGGGTCGCGCGCCATTTTAATTGGTTTCCTCCCACAATGCCTCTAGAATTTCCCAGAATGCACCAGTAAGAAGATGGCGACGCCCATATACATGTACCTGTCCATGTATACCATGGAACCTGAAGATTAGATTACGTTACTCTGAAAAGATATCATTTGGGGCCAGTTTCATAAATTGTTATCAAAACTGACATTCTGGTGGACAGATGAACTTCCACTTCAAGTTTCAGTCTAGGCCTATTCGGAAATCTAAGGATATCCTTGTGAAAAACGCAAACGTTGGCTGGTCATGCTGGATGGTGAACATATGCTGAAGGCTTGAAGCCCGCTGCTGCTGCGTGTGTGCCTACTTTATTAGGCTCAAATATCATAATTTCAGCTTGATGATGAGTTTCGACCCAGAGCAAGTTAATGAAGCTAAATTTCCAGGCTTGTCTGGTAGCATGCAGGACGAAAATGAATTTAGCCAGGGTAAGAACTAAGACTAAAAACTTAACTTAAGCAAGTCCCTGTTTATACATGTACATGTATGACCATTGACTATGTAACCAAAGTATGATCACTACCTCCATGGTATGATGTAGGCCTAGGCCTACATGGCCTAATTCTTAAAAGTTAAATCTTATTTGGCATAGGCCCCCAGCCCGAGAAAAAAAAAAGGACATCTTTCAATTCTTTGTTTAGCTTCCCCACCCGCTTCTCATATTTGGGGAGGCACTTCAGTTTTTCTTAATGTTTGTAAAATTAGTGAAAAACAGTGAAAATATCAACTAATTGATGGCCTACTCATGTCTCAACTAACTTAAGACTCTGTTGGTGACTACCGTGTTATCTCCAATTCACACATACCTATACGAATTTTACTGTGGCTGCAATGCCTATTGACAATTGAATTTATGGCAGTATTGGAAAAAAAACAACCCCACCTCCTTGTTTTGCAAAATCATGGATTTTCAGCCTTCACCATTTTAACCAGCTAAATATGATTAAATAATAGGCCTATTTAGCTGGCTACAAGTGAACAGGGCCCGTGTTGATGCATATACACGAGTAAGCTTTAAAGATTATTAACTTACCGCCAGATTTCAAGCAGGGTCTGTAGGATACTGGAAAGCTCATGATCATAAACCATCTGTATACATACATGTACATTTATCTGGAAAGCTCATGTGAAATGCTCCCAGCTGGGTTTGATTCCCAGCAATCACTTTTTCTATCCCCCCAAAATGAAGAATATTTTTCTTTTTTATTTTTAAATTAACTGCAACATTTAATTACACGGTATTTACATTAATTTTTTTCTGATTCGTTGCTCTGGAGGATCTTTTTAAGGAAAAAGTCCAAAATTGTAAAATGGTCTGATTCCCAACCTGTAAAATTAAGTCCGAATTACTATGTTGTCACAGAACCAGACTAAGATTTGTCACGGTAAGTATGTTCAAGTCCCCAAAAAGTTGCTCTGTACGTCCAGCTAAATATCATTTTTGCATATTAGACGCCGATGGCTAAATATCCACAACTTTTTCAGAAACCGGGACGTTTCACATGTTTTTGTTAACTAGGCCTTTATAACAAGGCTGTGTAAAGGTTAAAAATTAAAACAGGTAAACTGTCATTGTAAAATTCCCCTAGTTTAATAATGCAGAATTGCAGATTGTGACTGATTTTTATGGTCGCCATATCCATGTTCATTTTGAATTCATTATGATGATCTCATGTTCATATTGTTGACATATTAGAAATACATTGTATTTAAATCATCTCTTGTTAGTAGAGCTTGTGTTTGTTTCTGTTGTATGTTAAACAGACATTAATTCTTCAGAAGCTTGCATACTGGAGAATGTGCGGTGTGAGTGGCTCAAATGTAATTGACATGTGAACCAACTCAGGATTGAGGAAACTAAAATTGTGCGAGTTCTGAATTTACCTTGAAGATACACGTACACCTGTACCTACGTGTACAGTAGGTGTGTACAATGTACATGTACAGTGTATACTATAGTGATCAGGGAATGTCTGAAGAATTCCGTAAGGGCATCACTATTTCGGGTATCAGCCACCAGAAAGTAATAACATGCCCTTTGCCTCTACCCTTGTTCCAGATCCCTTCCTGCATGTTCTGTAATATTTTAGCATGTTTACTGTATGGTGTTTTTGCATGTCACTGATGATCATTTGAAATACAATGTACCTGTACATGTCCCTGTAATTAGCAATTGGCATTATTGTTCATTGCATGTAATTCATTGCGATCCGACTGTTGTGGCAATCAAAGTGTACTGTTTACGCATTCTTGACAAGATTGCACCATTGCTTATTTTAACAGTGGAAAGTAAAATTTGCAGTCCTCTTTCATTATTTTTGCCTTAATAATGTTTGCCACTAATAATGGTCAGTCTTATCTTCTTAGAGAAAAATCAAAGACGATGTACATGTATGTACATGTAGACACATTTGTTAAAAATAAATTTGATTTCAAGAAGTTCATTGCTGCGTATTGCTTTCATGCATACTGTAAGCAGTAAACATTTCCAAAAAAGTGAACTGATGCTCATTTAATGGACTGTACACGTACCTTTTGTGTGTCACCAGTTGATTTTTTTAATCATTGACAGGTTTCTGAGGTGCATTGAAAATAAGACAGGTACAGTTTGCCTTCAATGGCAACAAATGTTTGATCTTTTTAGTTTCTCTCCTGCACTTTCACTGTCACTTCTGATTTCCTGGTTTGCTTTCTAATGCCACACATCGTTTTTCCTGTATCAGTTCTGCCATGGTGATGGTGAAATCATTGCCAGGGATATACAGTGCATGTGTATGCTGTTAATTGTTTTCCAAGCTGTCAAATTTACACTAACTCAAATCAAGGACGGATCCAGAACCAGCGGGCGTACTTTGGGGATGTCAGAAATTTGGATTCTTTATGTGTCCTTTTATATGGCCATTTGGAGTGTTGAGGCTATATTTTGGAGCTTTGGCAAGGAAGGGAAAGGAAAACGAATAAAATAACTGCCTTTCTCTTGGTATCCCCTCCCCCATTTTTCACTCTGGGGGAATCCCCTGGATCCACCCTTGACCCAGTTTGGTTTTTTGTAATAAAAATGTGCACATCGTTTCACTTCTTGCTTACAGCAGGGTAAAATCTTGTGTGTGCTTTTCTTCTAACAAACCATTCTCTTCCTTCGGTACATCACTTTGTAGTTTTGGGGTACCAATGATTAACAAAGTATGACTGACAGTAGTAAAAGATAACCAATAAAGTGTCAAAACATATAATGCAACTATTCAAGCACTTAATAATAATATGATATGTGGTGCAACGTATGGAAGGTTTACGGTAGTTAGCCGTGGAAGTTCATCTCGTTTTTGATTGCATGGTTCTGAGAAGAACCAGTTATCCACCTTGAATGGAAGCACCCCCTCGTTGGTTGAAAAGAGCCATGTTGGTCAGTGGTGTTCATTTTGTTGGTAGGGGTGTGACCCTAATGCATGCATTTCACAGTCGTTCTTGAACCAGCAAAGTTCAGTTCCAACCAAAAGAGCCTCCGTTGCAAAGAAAGTTGCGCCCTCTCTTGGTCCAGCTCGGGGCTCCGCTCATTACAATTCAAACGGTGGGCTCTTGTTGTCATCAGGTCATCTCTTTCAATTCCATGGTGTTAGCGCAAACCTTCCATATAGGTACATGTAGTTTGTTTATGTCCACCGTTCAAACCAGCTGTCCCGTTTTATGTGCAGTACTTTAAATATAACATGAAAATCTCTCACCCTGAAACTAAATTCAAATGTGCATTTTGAGGCAAAAGCTGTTGTGAATTAAAGATGAACCATCTGCAACTTTGGCCAATCATAGAGGGTGGTAAGGCAATGTTTGAGAAAGAGGGGAGGGTCTATTAACTCAAGCTGTGGCCCTCTTTGAGATCTGGATACCCTGCAGAAAGCATCGATACTGAAACTAACGCCCTCTTTTTCATAATCCTGTATTGACAGTGGTATTCTATAAAAATCTACTCAGGCTTAGGTTTTAAACACTTGCGATGCACTTACACGTAAGTAGTAAAAAGCAGTAGTAACAGACCTGACAAAGCCTTCAAGCAAAAGCATATGCGTATATACATGTACATGTGCACAATGGTGGGGTGAGATATAGATGTAAATAATACATTTCACAGGTGCTTTAATTTCCAAGTTCTGTTGACAGAAGACAATTTTAAGGGTACAAGTGCATGTAATACTGAAATTTTTCCCCGTTTTTTGGCTATGAAACTTCTTCTTTTTTCCCCAAAGAAAGGATTTTTTTTCAATTTTCTCATCTCTTAAAAATCATGACATTGACAGTGAGAATGAACTAGAAAAAAGATCAGACAAGAGAGAAATTGGCCGTCCTGAATTTTTGGTGCACACAGATTCTGAATGCAGCGATCGGGAGCTTTTTAAGAGCAAAGACAAGAAGAAGGACAAGAAGAAAGACAAGGAGCGAGGTTACAAGACATTTGAGCCAATGGAGACCCACTCCGAAGATGATGACGATAGGTACCAGGCTGTGTTGATGAGTTTACACTTGGTGAAGTTTTGAGCATAATTAAAGGCACACATTTCTTTAATAAGGGAATAAATATGTGCTTGGCTGGTCTTCAACGTGTGTTTAAGACTGGCTCAGGAGAATGGACGTGCCTAATGCCCGAGTCGCTGGGTATTATTGGTGTTCATTCTCCTGAGCTGGTCATAAACATTAGTTTTTAGACCGACCAAGCACATATTTATTACCATTAATAAATGCAGTTTCAGTCAGAGAGTCAAAAGAAATCAGTATTTGTTCAATAATTTTATTTTCATTTTCCTGAACACCCCCGTCCATTTTATGGAATACTCGTTGTGCAAGTGGACCAGAAGAATCTCCTTAAATACATGTGTAGACTTGGCATGCACGTGGCAAGTTCTGCGTGCCACGGTGCACACAGACTCTTGACCGATAGGAATGGATGAATCTGGTATCTAGGTGCCAGCACATTTTTATGCAGTGGGCATTACAAAATGGCTGCATGCATTCACTATAAAATGTTAATACATGGTCATGTTGCATGTTGAATATGGAAACTGTTTAATGTATTTATGAATGCTAATTTATCAGAATTACATGTGCAGCTCATGCTGTGAACACTCATGAATGATTAGTTAACCCTAACTTGGCCCTTTTAGCTTAGACAATTCTCAGTCCTTCAAAATCCTCAAACTGCCTCTATTGAAATATTGGATACAGCTTCAATCCTCCAAAATCTCCCATTATTTCTTGATTATGTTCCTTGGAGGGATGACCACTGCCTCAATCTTTCAATATTCTCAGGAGATTCTTGTAACTATGTCTTTAGGCAGTGTGAATGGTTTTATGGAGCGGTATGGATGATACCATGTATATGTTATGAGCCAGACGTGAATTTATGTGTGGCAGACCATAACATGAAGTCTAACCCAAGACCTTGACATAGTGCATTTCCTGCACTGAACTCAGAATTTTGGCTGATTGAGGAGGGTTAGGGTTACAGCTTGCAATTTCACAACAAATAGTTTCCTAGAAACATTTGATTCAACTCCTTCACCAGGAAAAAATCTTCAAAACTTTCTGAAATTGTGGTCCTTTTTTAACATCATCATCAGACAAGGGCGTAGTGTGCCCGTGATCATCTCCTCAAATTACACACAACAGTTGTAGCAGGTCCTGCTCCCATCACAGCACGGTTTTAAACATGTTCATCCCAGAAGTCATTTCCCGATTCTTAAAAGTCAGCTGCTGATGGTGAAGCTTCATTTGGTGTTACATGGTACTGATGACCCAATAGAATTTTGTTTTTTGAGTCGCTCACCCGGTCTTGAAAGCATTTAGTCTGGTAGCAAAAATTCCATTAACTCTTTAAAAGGCTTGTGTTTGACAGTTGCATGTACATCTACATGTATGTGAGGCCAAGACTCAGTTTGTTCCGCCAAAATATTCTGACCCAAACAACAAGGAACATGACACACTTTCAATGCATTGTACAGAGGCAAAAAGAAACGGAGCAGCATCTTTCGATCCCGGAAGACCAAAGCCCCCAAGGAGAAACACAAAGACAAGGAACTGCCAGCCGAGGAGAAGCAGAGGGAGAAAGAGATGAAGGCCGAGAAGAAACGGAGCAAGAGCAAGGAGCGAGAGGCCAAGAAGGAGCGGAGCAGAACCAAGGACCGGGAGAAGTTTGGTCGCAAGAAGGCCCACACCATCAGCAACGTACCTGCAGCAAAACCAGGTGAGATTTTATTCATGTAGTTTTGGGGAGCTCAATTGGATCAGGAATAAGCACCCTCTTCTCACCAGAAAATATCACTTGTATTCATTTGCCAAGCAGGAATCAGCACATTCCTTGATGGGAGAGTATTGAAGTTTTTGGCTTCAACCGAAAGTAGCTCTAGCTTCCATGCTGCTCAGAATTTTTGGCTGTGAAAAGTTGCATCTTGAGGAAACCCCGAGTATGGTTAAGAAGATCACACGTGCATCAGTGAAACTCACTGGCAACTGGACCCTCTTCCACAGATCTGTGCAATATTGCCAGCTCAAGCCAGGTAAAGTCACAGCACAGCACAGGTGACTAGACCTGATCTGGTTTTTGATCATAGGGAATGCTCTGTGATTCATTTCCAGTTGAAATCAAGCCGGTGTTTGGGATACCACTAGCCGAAGCAGTCGAGCAGACCAAGATGTACGACGGCGTCGAGTTACCCAAGATTGTGCGAGAGTGCATTGACTTCATTGAGGAATTTGGTCGGTATTTCTCAAAGTGCAGGAATCTGGATTTCACTGACATAATGGGCACAATCTTCTTTGGACAGAATTTTTTTTCATTTGCCACTGTCCATGCATAGAGAAAAGTGGTCTTCCATATTAGCCTCAGTGTAAGTTGGAAATGATGATGACAACAAAAATTTTGTCTTCCTGAATTTAAAATTTTGCAGACCAAATTTCAAACCGCAGTCTGTCTCTGGGCAAGCAAGATTGATGGGCGGGCTCGTTCCCCTCAGGTGTGAGAGTGCAAAAAACCCAAATACACAAAATTAAACCAAAACAAAAAATCTCAAAACAGAGATGCTAAACCAGAATTTTTACTATCGACGTGGAACTCTTGACAGGTATGAACCATGCAGGCATCTACCGCCTCTCGGGGGTCAAGTCCAAGGTGGAGCTCCTCCGCAGCTGCTACAACCGGAATGAGGAGGTGAACCTGACAGGACAAGACCCAAACACCGTGGCCAGCCTGCTCAAGCAGTACCTGAGGGAGCTACCGGAACCCCCACTGACCAAGGCGATGGCACCCAAGCTGGAAGAGGCAGCCGGTAAGAGAAATTCACCAAGGCCTTTAAGCCACAAGAAGGAGAGAAGATGGACCCCTCAAGGTGTAATGTGTAGAGGGTTTCTGTAAGGGAACATGTGCTCTCTAGCACTCTCCAGTTTTAGAGGGGGTTGAAAACGTCAGAATCGTACTCCTTGGAAAGCCTACAAAATCGGGCAGGGACACACAAGCCAGTTCAGCTTTTGGTCCAGGCTGGAATTTGAATGCAGGTTGAAGTTGAGGAAAGTACCACAGAGCCCACCTGACTTCCCAAATCATTCGCTCTTTTATGTGGAACTTTAACTCAAATGCACAAGACTCCTGTGGGGTGATCCTTGAACCCTCCCAGATCCCATAGAATCAGGAGGTTTCAGAGGCATTAGCAAGGTTGAGGGACGTGGAACCCAGTATCTTCTGTTGCACATAGGTTTGTTGTCCCCATGAATGCTAATCACCTCACCAATTAAGCCCTTTTCACACGACGACAAAAAACTCGCAAGGTTTGAGAAATTTTCTCATGCGTGAGAAATCTTACAAAAGTGCTATCGTGTGAAAGGTCGGCAATGCTTGAGAGTGACAAGCATTCCCGGTGAATCCTTGAGATATTTTGGAGGAGGTCCGGACCTACAACAAAATCTTCCACTAGCGGAAGATTTCTCAAGCAACCCATGAGAAACAGTTGTGTGAATGGACGCACTGTTTATTGTACAACGTCCCCAGCGATAACCTACACAGTGCGCATGTGTAGTGCCCTGTCACCCCACACAGCATGTGCGCCCTTTTAGTCCGATACCTTTCTCTGTAGCGTCGTTTCAGGTATGTCCAGTGATCGTGGCACTGCTCGCTGGTGTGATCGGGAACATCTCCCGTGACTTCTTGCCACACATGGGTATTGTGGACCATGCTGTCCATTTTTGCCTTAATCGCGGCGTTTCCATGGCAGTTATAAGGCTGAGAGTCTCATCATACTCCCAGCCCTTTTTGGAACTTTTCTGCTTCTTGGTACTCCCCAAAACATCGGTTTCGGGAGAAAGTTTTTTCATCTGCAAGTTTGACTCTGCCGATGTAACGTCAGCCATTTTTCATCAGTGCTCTCCAACCTTTGACCTCACATTGTGCTGGTACTAGCAGTATTTGCCCTCAGTAAGTGTGGAGTTCACTGGCAACCTGTGGAATAAGCGTTCGCGTCTCAAGGAATGCTTGCAAAATGTTACACGGTGCCGTGTGAAAGGATACGATCGCGGTTTGTAAAGTAAACAATCCCTGCTCCGAAATCGTGCCTCAAGCCTTGCGAGTTTTTTGTCTTCATGTGAAAAGGGCTTTAAAAAAACAGGGTTGCACAGGTGGTAAGGGCAAAAGCTCTTACCTCTCACCGCTGCGATCGGGGTTCGATTCCCAGCCCTGGCCACATGTGATTTATGGTTGTTTTTTGTTTCTTACCGACATGCTACAAGGTTTTTTTTCTCTGGGTTCTTCTGTTTTCTTCTCTTCACAAGAATCAAGACCTTTGATCTCTGGCCGTTTTCCATATTAGTCGTTGGATGGCTACCTGAGTCTTTTCTGTATGCTTTCAGTGCGTCCATGATGTAGTTGTGTCCATTGCAATTCAGTCTTGTGTCTGCAAGCAAGGATGGTTAGTCTCCACCCCTCCAAATAAAAAACCCTTTCAACTCGGTGTCACCTAAAAGGGTTTTCAAATGATGTCCGTGTGTTTTGTAAGTGAACGTGTGGCTATCACAATCAATGTTTGTCTCTTTCTTTCCCTTGTCCAGCCATCACGGACATCAAAGTCCGAATTCCCCAGTTCCAGCATTTGATACAGCTCCTCCCAAAATGCAACTACACCCTGCTGTCGTGGATGGTGGTGCACCTGGCCCACGTCCTGCAAAATGTAAGAACTCGGACTGACTCGCTGGGGGACGTGCACCATTTCTAGAGGCTGGCAGTTATTATATATTTTTTTTTTTAAACTGGTCATAAAAGTTTGATTAAATTTAGATTTGAAGTTTAGATGAGTATAAACGACCTGGAAATAGAACCATTTATGCTAGGAAACCTTTCTAAACCAATGACGAAGTCAAAAAATCTGTTTTTATTGCTATTATAGGAAATATGTGTGTGGAAGGGATTGCCTTTAAACAGAAAATGACCAAAATTTTAGGTCTCTGGTGGAAAGAGATACTAGAATGTTATCTTGTAATGAGCTGATGGCAGAAGGAGCCATTCTTTTGGCGACTCAAAAGTGATCTTTGGAAGGAGCAACAGTTCTGACTCCCCTGTTGCTCCTCCACTCTGTTGCTAGGAAGCAGAGACCAAGATGACCATTCAGAACATCTCCATCGTCATGTGTCCCACGCTGCACATCAGCCACCGTGTGCTGAATCTACTCTTCACCTACTGGAAGACGCTCTTCAAGGGAGTGCAGATCAAGAGGTAACGCAATGTGCTAAAGGACAAGGGGAAAAAAAGACCGTTCTTTTGGAATGACGAGAACAATTAATTTTCTCAACATCGTTCCCCACTTGAGCTTTAGGAAGGGGGCCCAGTTGTCTAGTCTTCATATGGTTGTCACAAATCAGCCAGTCGTAAGTCGTCACATGATCTTTGGAGGGGAATAGTGACAAAGGCGTTCCTTTGCCGTCATTCTTCCCACGTTGCATTTTAGTACTCGTGATTTAACTTGCGATGTACTCATTTACAGTTCTTGAAAAAGATCATTGCACTTCTTGCTAAGTAACAGAGCAGAGACTCTGCGCTGGATGGTTTGTGAAGTGAAAGCTTTCTGAGATGTCTGGAGGTCTCAGACTGCCGCTCCCACAAGAACAGGTTGTTGCTGATCTAGCAGTCAGGTGCATGGGCAAATGCCCTCATTCACCCTGCCTCTTAACTATTACTGAATCCAACAGTGAACAACTCCTATTGGACTTCCTTGACCGGAACTGTTAACAACCGACCTCGTGTTATTGCACATTGGATTAGGCGCGCTGCATGCTTCACTAACTTGGATTCTAGTACATTTCAGCGGAGTTGGAGTTAATTGATATGAACCAATAGCTCTGGTCTGTAATTGCTTTGTGTGACTTTGTGAAATTCTGTCTAATGAATTTCGTGCGTGCAAGTATTGAGATAAATGTTTGACCCTGTCTGCTAACTTCTGCTTGTAGCCTACGCATTAGCAAAAGACAAAGCTTTGCAGTTATTTATTGAATGTTATAAATGATTTCAGTGGATTTTTTTTTATAAAATACGCATAAAATGTGTAGATGTTTAAACCATTACCTTGTCTATTTATTTGTATATCCAGGTGTCCTAAACCACTAAGATGGGACACAGCGGAAAATCGACTTGAGCTGCCAGAAAGCCCTTCGTAAGTCATTGTCCCAACTTTCCTGTTTAACCAGACACCTCTGAGAAGCTTTGGTTCATTTTGTTAATGGGTGCGCTATGGCTACTTTTAACCAAAAAGAAAAACTACATGGAAGTGCAGTTGTTACTTTTCAAGTGAGACATAAAGTTCTGTTTTTGTTCGCAGTGCTTTGGAAGAAGAGTTACAAAGACAAGAAGCAATCCTGGCCAAGATGCACGAGGATCTTAACAAGGGACTGGCTGACAAGGTAGGAATGTTCACAAGGTATCATCAAAGGTGCACTTACACTTGGGCAGGGATTGGCTAGCACTAGGGAAATATGCTGCATGTTCAGTTGACGTGAACCAGGGTTGGCTGACTGGATATGAATGTGCACAACATGTGGTGGATACTTAGTTGATCCGACGAAGGTAAAGCCGAACCTGATCTTCTAAAGTGCAGCAATTTTTTTTCCTTCACTACCAACCCTACCTGTTACACTCCCCACATAAAGCTTCAAATCGGATTTATTTCTGCCATTTTCTCAAATTAGCAAAATGTTTTTTCAGTTTTGGCGCTTAACGTTAAATTAACTTCCCCCCCTTCTAGTCAACAGAGGAGCATCTTTGGGAAGTGCAACGGATAGTGACCCAGCTCAAGAGAAAGGTAGGACCTACCTGTGTAATTAATTGTCAGTGTGAAGTTTTTTTAATGTTTTGTAGTCTTTGTAATGGGTTTGGCCTTTTTCTCAAGTTTGGACGGGTGTAGAACCCCAGCTGTCACTCACTCAAAACTAACGGTATAAAAAAATAGCACACCATGATCATTTCTTAGGCGCACTCTCTGGTCTTGATGTAACTGTGTAGAAGTAACTCATTATAATGCATTATAACACACTGGTAGTGTACTTACGACATCGGATGCACCTAATAGGCCCGCTTGAGATCAAAACTTTCTGTGATGTGTTTCTTCCTCTGCCATTAGAATGGTCTTTCCATGATTACGTTTTTATGTAGATAGTCATCTTGTTCGGAGTTAAAAAGACTTTTGTGTCATTCCAGTTACGAGTCAGTCGGAGAATCTCTGAGACAAGGATTGCAGCCATTGAGAAGGAAAAAGAACGAGAAAAGGAAAAGGAACGAGAGAAGGAGAAACAGAAGGAAATGGAAAAAGCCAAGGAAGCCAAGCCAGCCGGAGAACAGGAAGCACAGAAAGCAACCGAGGAAATGGAAGAGATCAAAACAGAGCCAGCAGAAACAGGCAAAGACAAAGAGGAAGTCAAGGCACCAGACAGGCTTTCCCAGGAGAGGACACCCAAGAAGAGAGTGGCGCCCAGGACACCGGCAGATGTGCAGCAGGCAGCAGAGGAGAAGGAGGGCCTGCCAGCTCATGCTGTAGAGATTGAGGACGTTCCGCAGGTGGAGATCGAGATCAAGGAGAGCAAGGAGGAGGCAGTCGCCGTGGTAACAGCCGAGGAGGATGGAAAGGAGCAAGAGGATGAAGAGGAGGCTGCACGGAAAGCTGAGGCAAAGAAACGCGAGGATGAGAACTTAGGTAGGATTTTTGGAATTTTTTATTCCTTTGTTTTTTATTCAAGTTTCAAGAATTCTATTTAATACATGCATGGGTATGTACCCTCATCATTCCGAAATGTCGGAGACACTTTTATGCTCAGTGTTATGTGAGATCTTGTGATGTAAAAATCATATGATTGCTTGGATTGAGCTTGAACTCTCCTGCTTGCTGGTAGAGACATCTTAATTTGACTTTCAAACTGTTTGGACTCAGACGGCAAGTTCATATCTGACAGAGTACTGGGTACTTCAAACCATGACGCATAATGGAAAGTTGAATGAGGGAAATTATAGGTCTTGTTATTTACAAATTGTTATTGTCTTGTTGTTGACAAATTGTCTAAAATGCTTTGTGCTGTCCCAAAGCTTGTGAAGCTTTGAAAGGGCAGAAGCTAACCCCATATCATATTAATATCTCACCAAAGCAGAGTTTCACTCAAGTCACAAACTTTGGAGGCTTAACTCAAGTCTTGATGGATAAATGACTTGACTCAACTCGAGTCACTATGAGCAAATTATCCAACTCAAGTCCCTCATCAGAAGACCCAATTTGATTGAAAGTTAATAAGACTCAGATCCCAAAAATAAGACCAAACTTCTTTGGGAAAAAGATTGGCAGTGACTAACAGTGCAGGTTTGTAATGTTCATGTCCTGTGTTATTATCATCAAGAGGAAGATGTGGTATGACCATACACAACCCAGAGGTAAATTTCAAAATGCCCAACAAATGACTTTCTCTGCTGTCTTTACTTATCATATTGTGTTCAAATATTTGTGACTTGGATTGACTTGAGCTAAATACTTGACTTGACCTTTTAGCATAATGACTCGACTCAACTTGAGTCACTACGTTACATTGCCTCAACTCGACTCGTGCCACAGTAATTAGTGATTCATTACAACTCTGCTGGCAGAGATGATCCGGCTGCTGCTGCTGTCCCAGGCCGAGGTCATGGCCGAGCAGGAGGAGCTCCTGGCCATCCAGACGGAGTTACTGAAGCGCATTGAGGCCGAGAAGCAAGAGGTGGCCCGGCTGAAGGAGGAGATAGCCCAGGCCCATTCCCACCACTACCGCTCCTTCTCGGTGGACAGCACCGACAGTCTCATGTCACCGGAGACCAGCAGTGACAGTGTATCCTCTTGAACAAAAGAAAAAGTCCCCAAGCCCTCAGCTCACCAATTCTTTATGCTGTTATGCCCCAACTACATGCATACATCTGTCCCAACTATCTTTTGGATAGATGTTAAAGCCGGGACGTAACATTCTTAACAATTTGACCATTCTTATTTGACAAAATCCCATCATGTGGATGGTTTGAAACTGCTCATAAAACACCACTGTTCTCTGCAACACATTACACTGTGTGCACCATATGCGTGGCAGTCTCCATGTACATTTATGGTGATACTTTAATAGAACTACATAAGCAATTCGCATTACTGCAAGTGTGGCCAGGGGGCTTATGTTACAGAGGTGACTTCTTGTGTCACAAAGGTGACTTCTTGTGTCACAAAGGTGTCTTGTGTCACAAAGGTGACTTCTTGTGTCACAAAGGTGTCTTGTGTCACAAAGGTGTCTTCTTGTGTCACAAAGGTGTCTTGTGTCAAAAAGGTGTCTTCTTGTGTCACAAAGGTGACTTCTTGTGTCACAAAGGTGACTTCTTGTGTCACAAAGGTGTCTTGTGTCACAAATGTGACTTCTTGTGTCACAAAGGTGTCTTGTGTCACAAAGGTGACTTCTTGTGTCACAAAGGTGACTTCTTGTGTCACAAAGGTGTCTTCTTGTGTCACAAAGGTGTTTGTGTCACAAAGGTGACTTCTTGTGTCACAAAGGTGAACTGAAATGCTAAAAAACCTCTAAAAATTTGATTCAAATGAAAAGGTATTTTTGAATGGGGATAACAATTTGCTATTCAAGTGTGATGTGTAAATCCAGCTAAGGGTCTGTTTCCCGTAACTCTCCTCATCTTCAGCTGAGGCCATTATCAGTGATTAGACTCCAAGCTAGCTTAAACTTTTCCCAGCACTTCATTATTCCTTTTTGTGGTTTTACTAAAGTGTAACTTTGGCAGGAGAATTTCTGCGTTTTATTCTCCATGTGATGAACGCACAGCAGTCACCCCCAGAACAGACCGCATGTTCTTGGTACAATCTATCCCACTTCTGACACCATCGACTTGCTCTTTGTCCTTAACATATCTCTGTTGCAGGATGATGACGATGACAAAGAATTGCAGGCCATCCTGAACAAACTCATTCGGGAGAACCAGGAGCTGGAGGTAAGAAAAGGTCGTTGTGCAGTGGGTCTCAAAAGTGGGTTTTTATTGTACATATGGTCCAGCTGTAATGACCCTAATTGGTTCCTGCTGAGGCGTGCAGGTATTTGATTTACTGTTGTTCTCTAGGGTTTTCTTGCCACTCAGTTGAGCTGAGAATGCATTCATTTTCTCTCAATTCAGAGCAGAAGCTTGAAGAACAACAAAACAACTGATCAGAATAACATACAGAAAGACAAAGATAACATGTAATTAACAAACTGTTAACTTGAACACATTTTGTTTCTTTTTTTTCCGTCTAATAGTCAAGACAAGTTTTGGATTTTCCAAGTTTTGGACACCAAATGTCTGACTAAGTTGTGGCTCCCGTGACTTTTGTTCATTTTTTCATTTGTTGTTCGTGTAACCAGACTGATTTGGCAGAACCACACGAGAGTGAATGAACGGAAGACAAATGATTTCCAACTCCCTGGCCAGGTTTCCATTTGCTATGGGTTCATTCGAGGGAAGACAGCTAGCACTTTTGAAACTGTCTAGTTTTTTCTGTGTTTCAAAAATGCAGCGCAAGAACACGCAGCTCAGCCACGACATCCACAATGAGCGCGAGGCATGCGTGGAGCTCAAGGTCCAGATCAAGCTACGGCAACACCCCTACTACCAGATGGAACCGTCCAGCATCCAGTCGGTCAAGGATGTGCAGGCCCGGGAGCAGGAGCTGCAGTCGTTTGTACGGACGGAGCGAGAGGTGGAGTCGGACTCGGAGGTGGTGGCGACCTCAGGGGAGGCCAAGCGGGGCCGACGGAAGTCACAGAGCAACCCTGATGTTGCCGGGCCGCTAATGCCGGCAGGGCTGGACAGAGGCAGGCCACAGACGGACATCAGTGAGGAGAATGGCTTGAGCAGTGCAGACAAAGAGAAGGGAACACCGCGGGGCCGAAGGCTTGAGAGAGAAACATCCCTCTGAGCAGCTTTTATCGGAGGAACAAGTCCTTTAGAAAAAAAGCGTTTAGTTAGCAAAGCTTGTCTCAGAACTGTAGCCATAAGCTAAGCTAGTGAACAAGTTGCTATAGTTCTTGAGCAAGACACATTGTCGTCGCAATTAATTCAAGCCAACCGACAGGTACTAAATTTGAGGCCAGAGTTTTGCCAGCAGGAAAAATCCCCTCAGAAAACAATCTTTGCAGTTTGAACTGTGTGTAAGTCTCAGAGCCGTGATCATCAGCTGAGACAGTGGATCAGTTGCTTTAGTTCTTGAGCAAGGCACGTCATCAAAATTGCTTGAAACCAATCAACGGGTACTACACTGGACAGCAAAAGAAACTTGCCACTTCTGTCAAAGGCCACACATAAAATTTCACCCCATAGAAATAAACATTTTTTGTACACAGGTATGCTGCAATACCCCTTACTAGTCACATGACCAAAAGCAAGTGATTATCTTTATAACAAAGAAGAAATTGACATGCACAGCAACTTGGTTACTGAATCAAAAGTCACACACAAAAGCACTCTCCACCAAGCAAAAGTGACACATGAATGAACAACATTTTTAACAACCAATGACAAAGTGAACACCTGTTTTACCAAAATGATGTGCATGAGTGGTTTCTGGATAGGGATGCCATCCTTACTGACTATGCGTACACATTATTAAAAAGTAATGATTGTGACTTCTTTATTTCGTCTTGTGACATTGATTTCTGCGTAAAACTTAAGGCTCATTCTGTTGCATTCTGTGACTTTTGATTCAGGAACCAAGTTGCTGTGCATGTCAATTTCTTCTTTGTTATAAAGATAATCACTTGCATTTGGTCATGTGATTAGTGAGGGGTACTGCAGCATACCTGTGTACAAAAAATGTTTATTTCCATGGAGTGAATTTTTATGTGTGGCCTTTGACAGAAGTGACAAGTTTCTTTTGCTGTCCAGTGTAAATCTGAGCAAAGGGCTTATATGGTTTATGTATGAGGCTTCAAGAGAGCATGTATTGATTAGCTTGAGTTAAAACAATACATTCCTAAAATAGCCTTGTTTATGTGATCTTCAAGAAAAAATAATGGCCTGATTGTCAGTTTATCAAAAATGTATAGCAGTGTACATGTATCTTGTGATCACTGGTCTATGTAGATGCTCTCGTATTTTGTCTTTGCTGAATATTCACTGAGCTAGGTGTGCATTGCATGCCCCATGAGGAGCACTGGGATCCCCGTGGGCAATTGCAACAAAGTAGTTTTGGGGCGCAGTGACATTTTCCTTGTCACACCACACTTCGTATTCCACTGTGTCGTAACTATACCAAGATTGCACTTTTTTGAAGAGAAAAAAAGCAAGTTTCCGCTGACTCGGTTGTCTGCTCAGCAACTGGGGCAGCTTGCGCTCATAGCGCCCCATAAGTGCCAGTCATTGTGCTTATCCAAGGGCATCGGGTTGGTGTAGTAGTTCTGTCTTCGCCTTCCACCTCTGCGGTCTGGGTTCCAATCCCAGCCTGGTCCATTTGCGGATTGGGTTGTCAGTCCCTACCTGATTCCATGGGCTTACCCAGAATATTCCTCTGGGGTTTTCCTCCCACCTCTAAAACTGTAACTGCTTCTCACTGTCTCCTCTCTACAAGTTTCTTCAGACTTGTGAGCTGCAGTGCCTGGGGCACTTTTGAGGAACTCTTTGTGTCAGTAACAGAAATAATTAGTAATAATAATTAAGCATTAGTAAGCAGTGTCCTAGCAAAAAATACAAGAGCAAAAAGAGACTGCACACAACATTAAGGGCTGTAAAGTTACTTCCAGCGCTCAATTTCATGGTGCTGCTAAGCACACAATTTTATGCGTAGAGAGACTCCACATTATTTCATGGCGACTATTAGGAGTAAGCGCGGCAAAAAGCATGCTAAAAGAAAAATTTGCTTAACTTAGTGACAAAGCAATGGAAATCTCCACACCATGATGTAGTGTTTAAGGTTAGCAAAAAAAAGTGCTTAAACCACTTTTTGGTGTCAAAGCATTGCCCCAAAAATTGGGCCCAGTGTACAAACTGTGCAACTTCTCCAGAGCTGGTAGCACTCTCGTAAAGAAAAAAAAAGTTACCTAAGATGACAGGAATCAAATAAAAATCTGGTACACAACTTATTAAAGCTTTAGGCAGAGGAGAAAATACGTTATATCCCCACTATCATTGTGCCCAAGCATGTGTCAGTTGTGCAGGCTTTCCTCCAGAATTTATAAAGCAGTTGTTACCGTTGTGGAGGGACACAGAACACCTGAAGGTTTAACTTGTAGTTTTACTGCACATTTTAGGACCTTGATTTTTGGTTTGTAATTTTTTCCCGCAAAAGGTAGATTTGTAACTGATACTTGTAAAAATCATACAAAAACAGTATTAACTGACAGTACAAGCATTGAACAAGTTTCAGAATCAAACGTCATGGTACCACAAACATTTCTATTTATTGAATTTGTCAATTACATAGTGTACATCAAGTCACAAGGCCTGTTTGGTGAGATTAAAAATAATTGGATGCGTCCAAATTGTTTTCAATTTTAAATGGCGCCGCATGGAGTGGTCCTGTCACAGATACGGGATTTGGACAAGACCATTAACAAAGTCACACTGATGTAAAACATTTACATCTATTTACACGTTAATTTTTTTTTTTTAGTTTCCAAGACGAATACGATTTGTTTGGTATCTTCTAGTCATTAGTCTAAATCTCTGTCACAAGATGGGGTTGGCAGAGAAAGGAACACAGAAGTTGAAAAAAAGGGAAGGCATTTGTTTTGAAGAAAGATTTACTCTGTTTATAATTAATGTACATGTATGTTATGTTCCTGTCTTTATCTTCGTGTCTTGCCACAATGTACACAACGTGCATACAGTGGGAAACATTAAACATGGTGTCAAAATAACTATTTTGCCGATGATATGTTCACTGAGAATTTTGTAAAAGTTACAACACGTATTAACTCAAGTGGTTTGTGCTTCAGTTTCAAATTGGCTTCATTTTAGCGTTCATCTGAAGTGTGACCTAGCCTTGTATCATGTATTCTTCATATAACTCCATCTTTCAGGGTCTGTTTGGAAGGAACCTTCCTGGATACTCCAACCTTCTCCACTTGTACAGGATTCCAACAGAAATCTGAAAACCAAATTCTACAACTTTTGCAGACTAAAATATAATAGTTTCCATGACATTTTTCAGAGAACCGGTCAAAGTATAGCCTGTAAAGTATTAATTTGTTATCACATCAAAAGTGGCCCAGCAAAAACAACCTTCCATGATCTTGATTTCCATGAATCTTTAATGACACTTTTCCTTGACAACAGGATTCCTGGACGCCCCATTTTCCCCAGTTTCCCATGGCTTTTCCACAACTTTTTCAGGACCACTTTTAATTAAGCAACACACTGAGTGGCTGAGCTCAACCTTACCCAGTCCTGAAAAAAAATCTCCAAAACATCCTGAGAGATTGTGAAAGATACAATTTCAGGTTGGTGGGGCTCTTTCAAACGAAAGGCATGCTCTAAACGTGAGCTGCTTTTAAACGCAAAAAATTTACAACTCGACGGAATTTTTGTGGACGACGTAAAGATACATAGACTGGTTCATGTTTAAGAGTGAATTATTTACAACTTTTTACAATAACTACGTTTTACTGGGACGGATACAGATATGTACAGTGTAAAAAAATTCACAAGATTTTAATGTTAACGCATGACAAACAAGGCACTTGATAACTTTATAAGCACACATCATGTTAACATCTGTAGTGTAAATCATCTTTTCAAGGCACTCAAGCATGTATCAAAGTTTTCTAGTGTTTTTCTCTTTCCTAAAAGAACATGAAAAAAACAACACAGAAGATAGGCAGGGGAACAGAGGATCAAATTCCTGGACATTTCCAGTAATTTACAATTCTAAAAACTAATGAATTTGTGAGTCAGAGAGCTTCAACGGGCTACCTTCTGAAGACTTTTGTTGGTCTACAGAATTTGTAAGACCTTGCAAACATGGCACTCCTTGGCGAGTGTATGTTTGGAGGATCTGAACATGACAGTTCACAAGTTTATGTATTACATGAATGCAACATGCAAATATCCTGAGATAGGAAAATGGCTACAATAGCCCTCCAAAGATCAAAGGCTATGGCTTTTGTTTCAATTCAGGAATCATAATTTATCACCAGATTCCAGAAAAATGAGTCTGAAGGTCATTTTTTCTGTAATATTTGTTCAAGAACAACATCAGGCTCTTTGTTTGGATATTTCACACAGTCTGGCATTCCAGTGTAAATGGACATTTACGTGGGAGAAGAATGCTGAGGGTTCCTAGTGAGTCCCATCATGAAAGGGTCTTTATGAAGGTCTGGAAATCCAACGTGGCTCTGGTAACTTTTTGAGTCACTTTGCTAGAACAGGACACGATAAATGCCATGTCAGTTATCAACAAGACACAACGCTGGGTGTCTTAGGCCTGGGAGGAGATACTGCACCACCTTTATTCAGCTTACGAGCCTTGGCGTCGGAGCGTTCCTTCTGCCGGCTCTCTTCTGTCTCCTGGTCCTCCTGCAGTGCCTTCTCCTTGGCCTTCTCTTCTTCCTCCAGTTGTTGCTGCAACTCTTTACGCCACTGTATCAAAAACGGAAAAAAAAGAAAGATTGGAAGCGAACATAAGATCAAAATGGTTTGGCTGTTGGATACACGGTTGGTCGGATTAGCCTTGCCTTTTAGCGTTTGTGGCGAAGGTTTAAATCTCACTTCACATGCAGTGTGCTTCCATGGCTTTCTTCCAGAAATCTCCCCCTTACTTGTACTTCCTCATAACTGAATATTACTTAATGTTTATGATTAAGACAATCGCTGAAGTCGTGATCAGAACTTGGTCCTGACAAAATCACAATGATGAAGGAAAGAATGAGGGAAAAACATAAACATGGCCAAGTTCGAGCGAACGACCACTTGTTTACCACTGGTCAAGTCTGCCTGGTATCGAGAATGTATTCGGAGCGGAGGTTACCAGGGACAAATTACCAGTATAGTAGTCAACAGATGGTCTCCCTCAAATTCTCCCAATGATGACCAGAATGAGGAGCTACTGATTAAGTGGAGCAGCCCTTGTGTACAGGCTTTTTGCTGTCCTTAAATGTTTCTCTGGCCAATGGCATGCCCTAATACAACTTGTCAAAATGCATAGGCTTCAAGTTCAAGAATGCATGGGGCATTCATTTGAGTGTGGTCAACTTGGAACAGCCTAGGGCACCTTTTTGGCATCATTATAGATTAAGGGCCGTGTTTTTGCGACCGCGGGCCAAAACGTGTTTCTGCCATGGTCACTGGTTGGTCATTTTCACAACTTCAGGAATTCCTGCATGATGTTACTGTTCAAACCACATAACGACAGCCCAGTTTTTCAGTCATAACCGTCACAGTCTCGACCACATCGTCCATCTACAGTTACCTGGTCTTCCACTATCCTCTTCAGGTCCAAATCTGTGCGTGTCTTGAAATCTACGGGTTGTTCATCTAATGCTGTCGCTAGAAGCAGCTCTTGCCTGAATTGTCAACAGAACATGTTTTTATTCAAATTTGAGGATCTCTCATTATATAATATCTGAACATCTGTGATACAGAGACCATACTCACTGCTGGCATTACAAAGCTTGTACTCATGCACAATGGACAAAAACAATAAGCTTTCCTCTATTATGATGCACTGTGCAAGCACTCTATTGTTCATTACTGATTAGTTTTCAGCTGAGGGCAACTTTGAGCGACAACTATTAGTTAGTTTGAGTAACACCGCCCGAACGATGGATGGTTTGGAGAACTTTGGACCAATTAGGACAAGGCTCCGGGGCATGGTCACACCGCTCATAATCAATAACCCATTCCATTTATCATTACGAAGGGAACCATTCACACGAAAATAATTGTACGAGATTTCAATGACCCTATATATGCTGCGAGATTCCCAGCTAACGGTGAAATGAGTAACGATTAGATCTTAAAAAATGGGCTGACTGGGATCGTTCGAGTGTAACTGAATTGCACATGCATATTGTTTAAAAGCCTCTGACTGCTGGTCAAACTATAGTTTGCCCCCAAACTTGCCCTGGGAATTGAAACTATTTTGTTAGGTTGGTTTTTAATTCCTCGGTCTCCAATCACTCACTTCAAGGACAGCCTGTTGGGCCCCGTTCTGACTGGCTGCTTGGGCTTGGGCATCTCCACTTGACGGCGGGGGGATTTCTTGGAAACCTCCACTGGGGGCGCCAGCGGCGGGAGGTAGGCCGCAGCCAGACCGCCCGCCAGCCTGGAGTTGAAAGAGCGCGTGATGAGAGCCTTCTGCATCTGGGTCTCAATGTGGGCTTCGACCTGCAAATGATGACGGCGCCAAATATGCCAAATTCACACTACCTGATTACAGGGTAAGCCACCGAATCATCTCTCAACTTCACATCCAATTTCCTGCGTATTTCCGGCACTTCCCCTTCCCCACACACTGGTGTGTTATTCCTTGCAATCTTGAATCATGTATTATATAAACCAAACAACTGCTGAGTTACTGTCACACACACCATTTGGCCATGTTAACAAATGGTGATGTAGAAAAACTCAGCAGGGTTGAAGTTTGCAGAGTGGGTGGCATGAAGTTGATCCTAAAAGTCTTCTCTGGGGAACTATTGACTATTTTAGAATCGGCTGGATATCGATTTCCTCCCACTCCTGAGAAACCTGAATTCAACCCATTATATCCAAGGCATGAAAAGAAATTCAGAAAGGGGCATGGACACAGTCTTGAGATCAGTGCTGGAGTCTAGCTGTCACAACAAATACAAGATAAGACGCAAGACCAGTCACATCACAGGTTACCATGGTAACAGGGTGAATCTATGACAAAGGGAATGCTTTTATTGCAGTTCATTTGCACAGCTTGTGACTTGAATCCAGACTGGAGGTCTTGTGCTGATGTTGAGGGGGTCCCGACTACAACACAGCTTGTGATGGTCTAGTCTCCCCTACCTGGCCCACTCTGAAGGCCTCTAGCACCCTGTGGTCTCGCTCCATGGAGTGACAGCGCATCAGGGCATTCCAGGCCACGGTCCGCATGCCCTCCTGTAGCTTCTCGGCGCTGGTGCATCGGGTCACCTTGACCAGGCCCAGGATGGCCGAGTAGCGGATGCGCCAACCCCACTGGGATGACTCTGGGGGGAAAAAAATGCAAGAAGCGTACACTGAAACTTAGACGCCATTCCACCATAACCTTTAGCGTGTTGCCAAGGTGCAGGATGCAGAGTAGAAGCCTCAAACACCTTTGAGTGTAAACACAGTCCACCAAAGTTGACCAGATCATCACCAGATCATCTACCTTCGATGTCACTTGCCGCATGGTCTCAGTGTCTGACAGGGTGTTCTTCTTAAACCACTCATTTCACCCAAATTACGGATTTAAGAAAATAAAATTGCATAACCATGTCCACAGTCCATCAAGCGGGTTTGAATCGATTTCACCTCTAATATCCCAACTCTCACCAGAACAAAGTCCTGTCTGTTGGCACTGATGGACATGTAAACACACATATACAAATGGGGTTTGGAATATTCTGATTTACTTTGAGTATTGGTCATTTATCGACTTTACCATCAGTCTCGTCACCATCAATCTTTCCCTGGTACTCTGCCAAGTCTAACAGTCCTGCGCTGGACAGACAATGCTGCTCCTCATCAGCCGGTGCCTGGCTGGAGCCGGAGCCCGCCTGCTTCTTGTGCATGTACGGCCCATAGCCTTTCTTCTTGCTGCCCACGAGAGCGGTTCTCTGGATCTCTGCCGTGCTTCCGTGCAAACAAAGGTGAGACATGAGCTCGGCGTAGGCGAAGCTTACCTCCCAGGGCCAGCCAGCAAGGCCTTGAGTCTCCAGTGGCTGAAAGAAGGGGTTGTAAACCAAACATAACTATGGTGACCAGCCAAAGGTCCAAATTTCGACTGTTGCTAATGCGGTTTAATTACTCCAAACATCAAACTGACAACCCAAAGTGAACCGACTGGCAAAGTTGACAGCACTAATTCCCTTGGCTGCCAAGGTCATAACTTTTTTTCAATGGGCCAACTTGGCCGGAGATTTTTTGTAATCCTCACCCCAAGCATACCCCACAAGCCTGTAGACTCCCATTGGCCAAACCCCAACCACTGCCAAGTTAAAATTCTTGAAAGATCAGTCACCCCAAGGAGGCCATATGGTCTTAATCAGGAACTGGATCTCTTTGTTGACATGTGCGGACTGGTCAGCTGTTTGGGTTGTGACCTGGCATTACTTGTACTTCCACAGCAGCATAATGAAATGTAGTTAGAGGGGGTCTTCGTTTCTGGGTGGGGCTGCCCCCAGGCTAGGGCTAGGCAAGATACATGTACTGCCTACACATTTGTTCACTACATGAACTCTACAAAGCCAGTGAGCCACACCCGAACAACAGCACTACAGGGGAATCCAGCCAGTCACTTAGGCATGAAACTTAACATGACTCAAGGTAGACCAGAAGCTTATTTGCATGAAGCACTGTGAATCTGCTGAGAGAAGCATTTGGTCTTTACAATAACATTCATGAACTTGACTCAATTCAAGAGTTGAAACCTGGTGTTTCCAACAGCTGTTCCATGCTCTATGTACTGAGCAATTCAAACTAATGATGGCTTAATGATGTTCTTGTGAAAGTTGAACAATCTTTTTTAAATGGATTAATTAACAGCAAGTGTTCATATATGGGTAAGTCCAGAAATTAGGGGTCCATCTTTTTCGTGTCCCTGTCACATCTGACATATGATTTGTAAGTTCTGAAAACATTTCCTAATGTCTAAGAGTCATGAATTACTGCAAATTACCTGCCAAACAAATAGTAATGGTTTGAAACCAATTCCAGTGATATTTCAAAGTCAAATGACAAAGGTCAGATGTAACAGGGACACGAAAATGTCACACTTTTGGACCCCTAGTTTCTGGAATTACCCATATCCAAAAGAGTGCAAGCAAGACACTGCACAATGGCTGTGAGGAGCTTGAATACAAACTCATGATTGTTTTTTTTGTCTGCTAGCAATGATGTCAGCATGCAGACAGATAGCCAACACACTATCAACAGTACGCTGCATGGAGTGGTAGGCAGCCTTTACTAGAGAGCCTGGTGAAGTTTATTAACCTCTTCACTGCGGGATTGAATGGAAGGCTTTGTCCAGCAACAGGCCCCATTGAACCAGCAGCTGCATGGTAAATAGACTGTATGTGTGGTATGCACTAATCCTCACACAATGGTGTGGTAGTAGCAGTCCTCCTTAGCCAAGGGGTTAATAAGAATTTGCCAACTTTTCAAATCTTGTTTGTACTTTGTTTCTATGCAAAGGTTTCTGCTTCTAGCCCGGCAAATGTTCCAACAATGTAATTCTCACTGACTTCTTTTATGGGCTTAAACGATTGCATTTCAAACTGTATCCATTCCTTTAGGTGAATCACCATTATCATTTCAAATAATGAATAACAGCTGAGGGTGAATTATCATTCAGCATCACAATGCAACATGCAACATAATGAAGGATTTCAAGTTATGAGATCTAAACTAAAGTGGAATCTCGTAAACTTTGACAAAATAACCACGTAATATCAACTTTGCATTGGAGCATGTGCATTTTAGATTTAGAATGGAACTCACATGTTTGTTTTTCAAGCCAGCGACCGCAGTTGTTTGAGCTGCCTGCTTGTTACTGGTGCTGCCACTTGCTTCGGAGAAATACTGTGTGTCAGGAACGGGATCGATGGTGACAGATTTAGCGCTGTTACTCTTTCGTGTTCCCTCGCTCCTCCCTGAGCCATCCCTCAGGCTGGATTTCTTGGGTAAGTCCCCCTCCAGATCCCCATCTCTGTCAGTGGGCTCTACGTCGAAGCTGACTTCCCTCCTGAGCTTGACGCCGATTTCCGGCAGCCCCTGGCCCGTTTCCAGGGGCATCGACACCTGGGGTCTGGTAACGTCCACGTCATTGGCCTCCACTTCGCTGTCGTCCCCCGGATCCAGGTCGCTGTCCTCGATGGATCCGGACGGGTCGTCCAGGCCCGAGGGCAGCGGGAGGTCGCCGGCCGAGTTCAGGCTCTCCCGGGCGCTGCTGACGTTCAGGGCAGTGGACGGGGTGGAGCCCCCGCGGGAGGAGGCCTTCTGGCCCAGGCTACTGGGACTGGTCAACAGCTCAGCCTGCTTTGGCGTGTCCATCAGGACACAGGTAGAGGTGTTGCGGGCGGACTTGAGCAGTGAGCCACCACTCAGGTCACTCAGGTGCTTGCCATCAGCCACAAAGTCACTCTCTGGGGCCAGCTTCTTGGCCAGCCCTCCTGCCCGGCCGTGATCAGCCAAGTGGAGGTCGCTCATCAGGGAGGTCTGACTCAAGCCACTCACGATGGATTCCAGCTCCCCCTCCTCGACTTTCTCTCCTGTCTCTTCTTCCTTATTGTCCTGCAATTCCACATCTTCGGACGGGATCAGTGGGGATGGAGGCAGTGGGGTTGTGCTTGGGAGCACACCTCTTGCAAGATTCTGAAGGGTTTTGAGGACCTTCAAATCACTCCTTGCTGTCTCAGCAATGACACGTAATGCACACAAAGCATCAACCCTGCCGGTAAAAGTAAGATAAAAATTGACGGTAAAAGCAAAAACAGCCAAATAAAAGAGAAACTGGTGGAGCTGAGAAACTTAGGCAAACACAATTACGTATGACTTCTGGGTGAGCTACATATGTAGAAAGTGAAACTTTCCCTAACGTAAAATATATATTAATGAGAACTTCAACCTGTAAAATGGTTCTTGTCACTTAAATCACACAACAGATTCAACTCTAGATCATCACTTGCACATATTGTAAATGGATTACTAATCAGGTACAAAAAGAATTTATATCATCCTTATATTTTCTTAATTTGTATTTTGAATTTAAAGCAGTATTCGAATGAGGAAAACTTGCTATCTGAGGACCTACTGTCCTCTTAAACCTTTTTTATTTTTGCTCTATGTCCTCAGTGTTTGCCATGAAGATACAGCATTACCAAAATGACACACCACTGAATACGCACCAGTGCTCGGTCGCCAGCGTACTCCCGCACATGGACAGCGCCCTCACGGCCTCGCGGAATCCGCCACTCAGATGGACCACGCAGCGCCAGACGTCTAGGCTGTGCCACAGCGTGGGGCTCAAGTCATGAATGCTGCTCTGACCGGTTTGAGTCCGTGGCTTGACGATGCTCCCCATGCCGCTAGGCAAGGGCGTGTCCGGGAGGCTCCTCTCAAGCTTTGGGGTGGGGGTGGGAGAGGGCAAATCGTCTTCGTCCTCCTCTAAAATCTGTCCATGAATTACAATCTTAGTAAAACACTTTCCATTATTTTTTCACTTGATCGTTGGGTGACGTTCAGGGAAAAAAATCATTGACTGAAATCTCACACAGGACATATGACTGGTTGAAAGGGTTCACCAGTAACAGAGAAAGGCTGGACCAACACTTAATGCCCCTGGTGACGACCCAATGGGCTTGCACATTTTTAGATGAAACTAAATAGTGCACACTTTGTGCCATGTACATGGGTACACATGCATGCACTCAGTGAGTCGTCAATGACAAGGAATGTCATGAACGGAACCCCGTCATCAGTTGGACCAATTGAGTGTGATGTAATGTATAGTCAAACTGATTGACACGGTTTACTCAAAGTCAATGGGTGAAACAGCACCTCCTCACAACACGGTGGAGTCAATGGTAAGATTACCGATTAACTTTTCATCAGCTTATCTGCAAGTGTTTAAGTTGTGAGAAGCATAAGAGCTTTTATCATCAATACGTCAGCTGGAATTGGCCAATAACAAGCCAAACTGAACGTCAGTGATGAAATCCTTGATTATATTCTTAATCAAGTAAAAAATACCAGTGCTGTAGTCGAGTCCATCACAAGCCCTTGCAAGTCTACCATGATTCACCCAGTCTTAAAACCAAGTCACAAGCTATTCAAATTAACTATGACAACAGCAGTCCTTGGTAACGGTTCACCCTGTTAAGGCTTGTCTTGTGAAAGAACTATGTGATGGGACTCGTGAAAGGGCTTGCCAAGGAATCGACTTCAACACTGTGAACTTTTTCTGGCTTTCTTTGAAAAAAATTTAAAACACAACAACTAAGAACTGGAGACAGACTTGCCGAGACACTGCGTGGACACTCATACCTGATCTGGGTGTCGGCCACTGATGTTGTCAAACTCAGACACCGAGTTCGGCTCTGGGCGGGATGCTGTCCTCGCCCCACCATCCGCACTCTTGGGTCTGGCCTGTGTTGCCGTCTGGGGTGCAGCACCCGGTACAGCTGGGTCTTCGTTCAGTACGTCCTCCACCACCAGTCTGCCTACCTCGGAGATAAAGCGGAGGCAGAGATGGGCACCAGGGTAGGGGCTGTAGGCTTCCTCACATTCTCTGACACCTTGACACAAATGCCAACAAGGATGAAAATAATCTGAGATGAGGCTCACTGTTTAACTTTGTAGACAGCAATTATTACTTAAGGAATCATACTTCACACTTCATGCAAATGCAGAGCAAATTTCATGATGTCAGTCAAATCTGTTTCTTTGAGATGTTTAACGGTAACTTGATACAACTGATTAGCTCTTAACTTCTCATTATAAACACAAACCTGAATGACTATAACAATCTCTATGACTGTGTATGTCAACCGATATGATTTTTATAAATGATGCATCCAACGAGTTACCTAAAATGGGACCCAAACAATATTTGCAAGTCCATAACCGCACCTTCATTGTTTGCTTTGCAAGGCTTGCCACACCTGTTGAATCCAGAATTGCGCGCTTTTTAAGATAACAGAAACCAATTTTAACAGCCCTCAACTGTGACATTCAACCATACATGTATGTGCAGTTTGGTGAAGCTGTGGAAGGAAGTTTCAATACAGTCTCGTTGCATGGTGTGTATAATTGCAGAAATTATTTTTCATTGAATCCCTGCCTTTGCTGGTGTAGTGCGGTGTGTCTGTGCAAACAATTTCCTACTTTGAAACAGTGAAGGCAATATCCGTGTTTTACATATGAGACCCACCATCCCCAAACCAGGCTGAAGTCGGTAGTTGTGATGCTGGACAATTTCTCTCCTTCAGCTTTTTTTTACACTTTAAAGTGATCCATGTTACATCAAAATTCTGTCTGCAGTAAGCTTCTTACGGGTAGTGATAGCTGTAAAACTCCCATGAAAATCTGAACAGAGGAAGTTCCACTATTTTAGGGTTATGAATTTACCTACTTCAGCCTGGTTTCGGGATGATGCGTCACATAGAGTGAAATAGTAAAGTGGTTACCTAGGGCCGTTTTCCAATACCCAACTTCGTCTCCGTCTTAGGCTTAGTGTAGGAAACCAATCCCCGATTGTGGGCCTGAAGCGTTTAACTTAAATTGAAGTACTGTAATGTTTGGCTCTTTTGCATCTTACTTGATGTTTTGTGGCACTATCAGACTTATTGTTGCACTTATAACCTCAAAGTCAGGGAGTAAAAAAACAGTTGACGCCTGAGACGGAGCCCAAGTCGAGTACTGGAAAACGGCCTAAGTCTACTGTATGTTGAATGCAACAGCATTACACAAACTAATAAATACATGTATGTGTACATATCTATGGCCGACAAAATAGCTCGATTCAATAGATAGTTCTATACACACTGTCAACTTGTTCACAACTTCCAAAAAAAAAGGCCAATGAATGAATCTCCACACAAGTTTAAAGTGGCTAGCTCACTATACAGCTATGTACAACCATGTGGAAGTCTTGTGTGGTAAAAATGCTGCAGTTTTTAAACAGTCCCTAAAAAGTACACCAAAAACATGTTATACAGAAAAACAACTTTACCGCATGCAATGCAATAACTGTGGTGATACAAGGAATTCTGAAGCTAACAGAGTAGCTTGCATGCAAATACGGAACACCATACTGTGCTATGCAACAGAAAGTTGTGGACACTCGGGTAAATGTGATACTTTCCCAGGCTGCACAGGGCTGCAGGGTTCGGTCACGTGGTGAACATGCTTACCTATTGCAAGGGCTACAGTGTCAGGTCAGCAGGTTCCAAAAGAACAATTCATGAAGTTAATACGTTAGGTGCAATGTATCGCTTAATGAAAAAAAAATTGTTTAAAATGAAATTGCTGTGATTAACCACAAACAAAATTGCTGAGGGCAATTCAGCTTTTCTCCAATCCAAATTTGTAAACAATTTAAAATTCAAAATTACATTTAAATTTTTTAGCAGTGATCCATCATTCAAATGAGTGATTCAACTATAACACAATCACTTTGTTCTTTTTGTCTCTGTAGGCAAAACAATGAGTAAAGTAGCTCCTCTTAGACACATGAATGATGCTCTCACAAAAAAATACCTTTTCAATGATTCCTCCTTACCATTCAATCAAGTCTTTAGAATAATTTTCTTATCTATAATTTCTTTTCCTTTGAGGAAACCTGCCAACATACCAAGACAAAATCCATCAAATGATGCCAAAGCACATGACTGTCTGCCTATTAAGACTGACCTGCTAGGTACGTAATGAGTCGGTTTTTATATTCTCTGTATCCCTTCAAGTGTCCGGCCATGTGATGGTAGTACAGCCTCAGGAACACGCCTTGCCCCATCTACCAAAGGAAACCAAATGAAAAACATGCGGTGATTTGAACTACCAAGGGCTGGGACTCAAGCTTTGGGAAGTCGATAAAAAGTCTGCATCAAAAAGGAGCCATCCGAAAGAAAGGTGACAACCAAGAGTTGTTCACCTTTTTGGGCTTGGACTGTAGCCCAAGAGTGCAGTTTGCAAATAGAGGTCTGTAGGTTTGGGCTCCCGTATTTGACAAAAATCCTTCTCTGTTCACCTCCTACAATGCATGCAAATACCAGGCACTTTCGTTCTTGCCCGCTCTGACCTTTTTTTCAAACTCCTTTTCAGGTTTTTGCTTTCCTCCAGTGAAAAGAATGCAGCAGCTTTCAAAGGTTTGAAAATTATTTCAGGCAAAAATTCTTCCGTATTGGAAATTCAAAATAAGTTCTGCTGTGTGCTGCAGCTTGTATTATTGCTGGAAGTTTAGAAACCTCAAACGACTTTGCTGTATTTACTTTTAGGAGTACGGCTCTCTGAAAAGTAGGTTTTCAAATTGAATTTCCATTGTCTAGCACAAATGAATGCCACTTATGAAAGTTATGAGCTTTCTAATGGGTCATCGAGCAAAAACATAATCCTACAATAAGAAACAGTTCAGTACGTTACAAATTATAAAAAGGAGCATTTCATTTTAAAATTACAAAATTTCTCAGGGCAATGGGCTTTAATGATAATCAAGCAATGAAAATAATGGTACGCAATGAAAGATTAATTTTGAAAGATCTAATCTGTGGAAGGGTTTTGTTATTTTTTTCAAAATGCAGATTTCTTTCATTGATTTGTTAGCTGGGAAAAGAACCTACAAGAGCATGGATTCTACGCCCCTGACAAAATGTTTACTGACTGACCTTGAGCAGTTTGATCTCTCCTATTCTGAGGAATGGTTGGTCCATGGCATCAGTGCGTAACCAGTACAAGGTGGTCTCAGCCAGGTAGAAGAGACTGGGTATATGGATGGTGACCAGGGGTGCCTGATTGAGAGAGACAATCAACAGGTCCAGGCACTCTGTACAGAAAAAAATGAGAAACAGTGAGAAAAGTTACAAATCCTTGAGCAGATTATGAAGCTTTGACGATCCGCTGCTCAGGATATTTTTACTTCACAGCCTTGAAACGAGATGATATTGACGGGTTCTTTTGGCATATCTATCACGTTCTCAGTGCAAAATGCAACAGGTACGGTGAATGTGAGGGTGAAAATTGTTACCCTTAAAAAGAGCTTGGTAATTTCAGACCTTCTCAAAGACCTTACTATCTTAAGACCAATCTTGTTGAAACTTGGCATGCATATAGATACATTCACTTTGAGAATACCCGTAAAGCTCAATTCCAGTTCAATCTGATGAGGGGTTTTGTTCTTGTGGTCATTCATAATTCATGCTCACACAAGAGTCTACATCCCTGCTGCGCCTGCTCTGAGGCCACAGGACTAGTAAAAAGACTTTTCGCTGACTTATCTATGAAAAAAAAAGGGAATTTAGCAAGAACACATTTTGTATGTCAAAGTGATGGCAAGACATTATTAAAAACAATGGAGATAAAAAAAATTGGTCGTGACAATACTGGAGAAAATGTGAGGCTCTTTTAAAGTTAAAACTACAGGCAAATCTCAGCTTACCCTCTTGTATTTTTCCACGGCACTGTGCCAGCATGGAGAGGTCTGTCCAGGCCTTAGGGAGGTCCACATTCTTACCCTTGCCACCTTCCAAAATTCCTGCTCTCCTCTGTAATTAGAAAACACATGGTGGGGTCACAACTTGAAGCTGGTCAATGGAATGGAGTGGCGTTTCTGAAAATAGTTGTCCTTTATAAGAAGAAAATGGCTTCTTCATGATCTGCAAACCAAGACTTGTGCATTATCAACACGTTTCAACCATTATTTCACTTTTCCAATTCCAAAATACACCTGTTGCATATAGTCAGTTTCAAAAGTGAAACAAAGTTTTGTTCCAATTTACAGCTTGTCAGTGCTACATGACCTCATACCCCAGTAACTCTAAACATGGATGTATGTATGCCTCCTGCTCTTGCTAAACCTGTCCCTGCTGTTGCTGTTAAACATCAGGAAAAGATAACGATTCAATATTTCTCACTTTGGTTCTATTGAGCATTTTGTGGGCAATTGCTTCCAGTTTCTCTTTCTCATCCAGACTGGTGGTGCCATTGAATTGCTGCACAAAGCTCTCCGACAGTTCCAAAGGGTTTCTGAGGGAGACAAGTGAAACTAAATATTTAGCCACACATTCTGAAATAGGCACACTATACATGTTAAAGGAAATACCACATTGAAAACTAAGTGCATTTTCCTGTATGTAGTTTTTTAAACTAAACGTTTACAATTTACTTACTTCACTGATCCAGAGGTTGTGTTCATCTTTCATTATCACTAATCAAAGACAAGTTAATTTTCTCATATTTGGTAGTCTACCTACCATTTTAATATACCACTTGTTCGTAAAAAGTTAAAATTTGATGTCCAAATGCATTGATTTTTTCCTCCAATCTCAACAAAATTAAACGCATTACCGCAGCAGTCCCAGAGTAATACTGAAAGCACTACGCCAACTACAACTTATATTGACAATATGTCAAGGGCCAGTTATTGTGTATGATGCAATGCACAATACTACAACCTTTACATACAGATAATAAGCCTCACTTTGTCTAGTGGTGTACCGCCCAAGAACAGTTCAAGTGTATTTCTACAATTTTGAGAAGTATACACATGGCTTCTCAAAGCGTCATTCACCGCCCAGCTCACAAGGTAAGCAAGCTGCTAAATATGAAAACAAAAGGTGCTTTACTTGTACTTGAATATGGGCTGGTGTCTTTTCTTGGACCAAAAAATTACCTCGAGCATTTTGACTGGAAGGCGTTTCTTAAGTGGACAGGCCTAATGGCAACAGATTTCCTCTACCTTGTAGTTGGTGGGATCCGCTGCGTCTTGACACTCTGTAGGTAGGACTGCTGGAGTAATCTCTCTTGCAACTCCTCCCGCTGTGACTGGGATATGATCCCAAATTTGTGAACGATGGGAACCCGAGTAATAGGCATGACTGATGATGGCTGCCTTTAGAGTCAAAATGCTGCAGGATTCACCAACAAACTGTAGCAAAGATTGGTAATTAAGACTAAAACTGGAAAAAAATTCCATAGTGGACTGTCACTATTTTCAAGTGCCATACTTTAAATATCTACAAGTTTAGCGTACTTTTATAACCTATCCCTTGTGCATGTATGTACTGAACCCCCCTTCCTTAGTCTTGGGGTAAAATTCCTACAGAATTATCTGGTGCCTCTCCTGCTAAATGTACTTACATTTAAGATCTCACTCATGCAATCATCCTTGGCAGTGTTGGTTTTCCTTATTCTGGTCAAATACTCCCACAGTCCCACTTACTATGCATTTACATGTAATTGTGGGTATATGTATACTTGACCAGAGGCAGAATTCGATGGACAGTTACTAAGCAAAACCCTTGCATCTCAGTGGGGTTGATGTTATGCTGGTACATGTATCACCATGTCATGAGTGAGTGCAGGTGAGAATTAATAAGATCTCAAATCTCCCGTTTTCCTTTTTTAGTTGAATATTTTTTTACCCTACGGAAATCAACCATAATCCAAGTTATTTACTTAGAGAACATTTAAAATTTTTCAGACCAATCTCATAGGGTTTGTGCACAGGATGTCAAGTGGTGTCCGTATGTGGAACTCTTTCCAAATTTTCTACCCAAACAACTAGCCTAACAGTACACTGGCCTAAGTTAATTCATCAAATTCATGGCATTCATGCCCATGCCTGACATGCCTAAAACTTTCCTAAAAGTCATGAAGCTCGCAATGTCGAGGAGTGGCACCAGGCAAATTGCCCAAGTACATTAACAGTGGCATGCATTTAAACAGAAGCATAGGCCTATCTGGCACACTTGTAAGAGGACTCCAATTTCAAGTCATGATATTATGAAGTTTGAACTGTAAAATTGGGGCTCATCACAACCAATTGAGGAAAAACGTAAATAGCCGCGTTTCCATGGCAACCCTATTTGTAAACAACATTCCACACATAGATTTATGTGTACAACATACACTGTGCATACAATTTTGTTGATTCAAAAAAGAACGGCTGAAAATAAATGAGCAACAGAGATGTTTTCTGTGACTCAATTTGTTTATCCTTTTGTTTACTGCTGTAAACACACAAAATGTGGCACTACTTTAACCATGATCTCCATTAAGAAAAAGAACGAAAAATGCCCATTTTCAGAAAATTCAAATCGCCATATCTCAGCAACGCCTCGACCAAATACAGACATATTGGTATCAATGTGCTCAGAATTATTCCCTCTTTCAACACAACACAGTCATAAAGCTTATAGAGCAACTTCAAAAAATCCCATTTCTGTCCCTATAAGTAGGCCTAGGTCTACATAGTAATGGCTGGCCGCAGGCAGGCAAGCAAGGGCAAACAATTACGTGATTAATCCAGCCTTCAGGCAAACACGGCAAAGGAAGCGCCTTTGCGCAACGGTATGTTTGGCACGACCATGTACCCCCAGAACTGAGGGTCCGGACGTCGGACCCCACAGTTCTGGGGGTAACAACCATGTCCATGATCGGATGACGACCATGACCAGCATGACCACTGATGTCGACAGCAAACAATACTAGTGCCAAACAGCCAACTGTGTACAACTGAGTAAGGTACCTTTATAAAGTGATTACACTAACACTGTAAGATGTTCTGTCCAATAACAAAACGAACTCTTTAGTGGTAGGCCTACCATGCATTGCCAACCGAGGGAAGTTTTCCCGAATCGAAAGCTGTTTTCTTCTGCTGTACAGCGCCATCTTGTTTCTTGGGATCCATGGAAATGAGCTTAGTCTTTATTTTATTTTTGTCCAATCATCGAAGATATTTGGATATATCTAAATACATTGTAGCCAATAGGCTATCTCTGTGATTCCTCCATCTAAAGATAAACCTCGTTCCAGGTTAGCTTTTTTAAAGCTACCATGTACTGTATTAATACAGGACTCATATTGAGAAATGATACGAGGTTACAAATCTTACATCCACGCACCACCGGCCGGGCGCGGGTTGGGCCTAAATTGGAGAAGCAAGCGGTGAATCGAGGACGTACAGGAGGAGCAAAGTAGGATGATGCGTTCAAAGGTAATGAAATGCTTAAGAATTAGAAAATAGCTTTGTGAACCGCTAAACATCATAATCATGATCTGGCCGATTTTTCAGCTGTTCATCAGTTCGGTTCATATACCAGTTTGGGGGCGGGGCTTCGGGTTGCGCTACACTAAATACTCGCCCACTGAAAACAGTGCAAAAATCGCAAAATATGGAGGGCCTGACATTTCGATCCAAGCAGAATCTTTCTCAAAGGCAAAAATCGGACAGAAACAGCGCCGGCTGGTGACTCTCAGTGAGACATGTGAGAGATTGGCATCCCGCTTTTCTTTGGACCTTAAAGATTACGGCCAGAAGCTCACTTTTCTTTTCAATTTTGTAGGGGTAGCCTCGCAAATTTCTTTTATTCGCTTCTCCGAAAACACCCCCAAAATAAGAGTAAACCATGAAAACTGTGTGCTCAGTTCATAGTTGCCTGCCTCTATGCAAAATAGGCCCACAGGTTGCAGGGTTTTGTGAACAAAATATGCTGAGTTGGACGCCAGAAGTGCCAAATTCGCGATTTAAGAAAATATCTCCTTATGATCGCTTCCGATAATCACACCTGTTATTGTAAAAACCCCTTTGGATCACAAAGTATTAATGAGCTCACACATAGAAATCTTATCATTTAGTGAAATGCACCCTATAATATTACCCTGAAGGTCGCTTTCTCAGAAAAATTGGCTAAAAGTGTGGAAAATCTATCCAAAATACAATGACCAATTCCAAAATTTGCGGAATGCGCTTTCTTGTTATTCTTTTGAAGGATAATACAGTTAACGTGAGCTGTCCAAGGAAATGTTTTTAAGTCATATATATAAAACTTGGAGAATTATGGTGGCCTACGGGATGGAATCTAGACTTCAACCTATTCCTACACAGGTTGATGATCAAGCAAACCATTCCAGCATGACTGACTACTGGCTTTTTGTAATCAACCAATAGAATTTCAGTTAAGAAGAAATTTTCCCTTGCTGACTTTTACTGTGTTTTTTTTTTTTGGTAGCAGGTGCTATCATTGTTCAAGAGCCTCCATCGAACAAGACAGACAGTGTTCCAAGGAGATGAGCCTGCTCTTAATGGTATTTGAAGATTGTTTGGCTGTAGTTTCAAAGCACCTGCCCCCTCTTCTTTCCTTCTCCCGCTTAAACTTAAAGTTTTATTAGCTGGTGATTTTCTACACTTTTTCTTCATAGATTCCTTGCCCCATAGAAATTTGCCTAATCACTGTAGTAGGCTTTGGTTCCCCCGATAGTCTTGGGGTACATTTGAGCAATAACTATAGTTATTAACTATAATTAACTACAAGTTAACTATTAGTTAACTATTAGTTAACTAAACTTCAACTTACATCACCTGAGCAATGGACATTGGGACCATTTAGTCATCATTTGCAACCAGGTCCTGGGCTTTGGTCACACCTGTGGTTATCAGTAGGCAATATAATTGATCAGGACTACATGTAAGTAGGGGATTTGTCCTCAGGTGCACCGTAAGCATCTTTCACATTGACCCCTTCTTTTTTGTAGCTCTCACCTTGAGTGGTCACGTCACATATGGCCTTGTTGAGAGCAAGTTGCACAAAAAGTGGCAATCCAAAATTAACTGCAAAACCCCTGCTTACAGGAATGCATTCCAAGATATAATTGGTTCTTTTTTCGGGGGAGGGGGTAGACTCGTAAGTTTTCCAACTTCAGATAAGACTATCATAAACTTGCATTCATCTTTATCTCTCACACAGCGGCACGAAAGAGAATCAATGAAGAGTTTGCCAAGAACAGACAAGAGACTGATCCTGAAGAGATCAAGCAGGTGAGTGCTGACGACTTGGATTGGAATCCTTCTTTAAACTCTAATCCTCCTGAATCCTCTAAAATCCTTTGGTTTTGGAGGATACTGAAGGATTGAGGAAGAATGACCAGAGAGTGTGGCTGATTGCCAAGGGTTCATTGTGTCACAGTTGTGGGTTCAACCCTGTGTTGTTCATGCTCAGCCATGCATTGTCTAGACAATACATGAAATCATCCATACTGCTCCATGATACCATTCACACTGCCTCAACACAATCAATGACCGGAATTTGCCGGAGAATTTTGTTGGATTGAGGCAGAGGGCACCCTTCAAAGTAGCATTTTCAAGGAATATTAGGGGATTTTGGAGGATTGAGGTTGAAAGCCATTTCTTTGCCTGGATAATCTGAGGATTTTGAAAGATTAAGGAGGGTGCCTAGCAAAAAGGCCAAGGGGGTTAGGGCTAATTGGCCACTTGCCACCAGTTGGTAGTGCACAGAACAAAACTTGGGCAGTATCCCAGTGATTCAGACTTGGAGCTGATTTTGGTCAGTGGGATTGAAAATATTTGTATGATTGAAGCCAACAATTTTCTAAGGAAAGAAGTGTTTACATTTCAGGAGTGGACGCTGTTGCTGCAAGGTTCAAAGCAATTAGTTACGTAACCATTATTTTGTTAAATAGTTGACCGCATTTTAATGAAGCACAAAGAAACACAGTTTTGGTAGCATTTTGTTCATTCATTTATTCATTTCAATCTTCCCCTTGTTAACCTTGTTTTTTATTTCACAAGGCAGCATTTAAAAACTGTATGTCGTCTTCAAACCTGTTCTGCCTTTCTGGAAATTATTTCAAAGGAAGCCCAGTGGTTTTTGTTGGTTATTTGTGCTGTTTTGTACATGTTTTTTTTTTCCAGTTGAATATTTATGAAGTCTGACAGTCTGTTGCATTGCTATCATCAACAGATGATTAAGGTCGGCGAGGATGTGAACATGTTAATGAGGAAGACAATAGTGCAGGCCAAGCTAAACGAAGCTGGGAGATACCGTAAGTACAGTTCACCTCTCTGATTGATCTGTGAAGAGAACTATTTGTATCATGGGTCGTTTTGGAGTATGCCTTTCCCGGTGGTACAGATTTGCACTTGCCCATCACAACAAATTGTAACCTCTTTAAAATGATTTATAATGACAACACTACATGGCCATGTTTGTGCATATAAAAGCAATATGCTTTACTTAGCAAGTACAATGCCATCAACTGAAACCTTTTAAAGGTTCCAGCTAACTTTAAGTATGCTCTTTTTACCCCAAAAAATCAACTTCTTGATTGTGTTTGTAGTTATTGTGTGAAGTTGTCTTTGGAGATGCACGTATGCTATCTTTTCTGCAGCTGGTTTGAAGAGCGTATACTTAGAACTTGAAGCATCGGGCCTAGGACAAAATTCTTTTCTTGCAGGTCCACAATCACATGTCAACTCTTTGTGTTTTAGAGGTTCGCATCACTGAAGATACACTGAGAGAAGAAAACTCTCCCCTGCCCAGGAGAAATCCACCCAAAACCCCCAAAGGCGACCAGTCCACCAAGACAAGGTGACAGTGGACTGTTCTGGTTGTAGAATCAAACCTACAGATCTTGTGAGCATTACTGGATTCCCAGACAGCGAAGACTACTGTTCTGTGTTGACCGTTGTTTACGTCACGCGTATGGTTTCAGCGGATGCATGTTTGAATCGGGAGGTGTAACTTTGGATGTTGGTGGAGAGGTTTGAGGACAAAGGATGGTGCCTTGCAATAGTCACTAGGGTCACTGAGGTACTGTTTTTGTAAATATGTTGAGTTTTTAGAGCAAGGCACAAAACTATCAGGGATGGTCTCATATATATGAAACGAAGTTATAGCTACCAGTTTCAATTACTATTTAGGCTGTAAAACCGACAAATATAATGCAGAACAATTAAACTTTCAAGTGTGTCACCTTGTCAAAGAATTATGTTTTTGCGGAAGACATGTCTTTGGGGGACCTCAGTTATCAAATCATATCTTTGTCTCCCAGTACTTACTATTTCCTGGTGGACTCTTTTTTCATGTTCATTTTTATGTTTCAGAAGTTTATTTGTCTTTGTTGACCTATTTTAGTGAAAGAAAGCACTCTGAAAAAAACTGATAAATTGGAAAACGTGGGGCAAAAATGTGGGAACGATTGACTGGTTTCAGTTATTTTTGTTTTCTTTTTTGGAAGTCAGTAAACAGATTATAAATCTGATTTTCTTGGAATGTTGTGAAGAAAGTCCGGGTTTCATTTCACATTGCCCCATGGAAGGGTTAACTCAAAATTTATATTAAAATATACCCTACTAACCCACATAGATCATTTTCAACCTTTTCAAGGTCGATCAACCCTTAACCTCAGAAAGTGACATTATAGTATATTATGTCTTGCCGGGAACGACTAATGAGAATATTGGCAGCAGAGATTCTGTTTCTGTTTTGGCTTGTAATTTGCATTGGAGAAAATGAAACTTAAATCACACTGCTTTGACAAGGACATGCGTCAGGTTCACAGTGCACTTTTTCTAACCAAGGTAATTGAAATTTGGACCTATTCCAAGATGTCTGATTGACATCAAACTACATTTCTGCAGTTGGGTCACCATTAACCCTAACCCTCCTCAATCCTTCACCTGTTGGAGGACTGAGGAGTGTTAGGGTTAAGTTACCACGAGGTGCAGTCCACACTGTGTTCAATGTTATAGTTGGGTCTATTACAAGTCCCTGCTAGTCCATCACAAGTTATTCGGTCTTAAGGTGAGCATTTTTTTATAAGTTGGAGCTCAGATCTTTTTTGAGACAGAGTTTTGAAGACAGCAAAAAAGAAAAGATTTTCTACAGTCTCAAGAAAACCAAATAAGGATCTTCACGTTGGAGAGACAAATAAAATTTTCTTTCAAAAAAATAAAGAGAAAAAAGTGGTATCCCAAACCACTAGTGCCAGCAGGGGAGGACCGTGGACTTCATCGTCAGTTGGACAATGGAGCAAAAAAAAATTATTTCTTTAACTTTCATCGCTAGATTGTTGGTCGGCGGGTCCGAGACTTCTCAAAATAAAAATTATTTCTTTTCTAGTTCTGAATCTGGAAGGTTGGCAGATCTGAGCGTCAACTTAAAATAAAATCTGGCCTGAGCCAATGCACAAGCTATTCAGGTGAACTGCAACCAAAGTATCCCTCTGTAATTGGTCACCTCCTCACTTGGTCTTGTGGAGGGACTTGTGATGGATTTAGCTGGAACACTGACTGTACACCACTGTGCTGCATTTAATTAAGCATTAACAAGAGAAAATTACCTAGCCTTAGAAAGATTTAGACCTGCTGTTGCGTTCCCACTGGGCAATGCACGGACAAGCCTCGACCTCAAAACTCAGTTGGAGGATGTGTCCACAAGCGTTCAACAGAATCGTCTGCAGGGGCCAACGTGCTCGCTAGAAAATGTCTGTTCTCCCAAAACAAAAACTCAAGTTTCTCTGCTGCCAACTAGAAGTTGTTAGGAGTTTCCCCAACTTTTGTTGGTATTTTTAATTTGTGCTGACGTCATCCACTCAATTACAAGTTAAATCACAAGTCATGTCATAAGAGCTACAGAAGCAGGGCTACAAGCAATGACAAAGGAATGCCTTTGTCTATTCATTTGAGCCGTGACGACTTGAGCTGTGATTTACTCGCGAGAACTTGATTGAAACTCTGGATACAAGTGTTATTTGTTGGAGGCCATTGAATGGTGGTCGGCGTTATCCGTGGCTCGCTACCATATGTGGCACTTCTTCTCAGGGTTCATGACACTCCCTTTGGGACACTTGAAGGCCTCTGAGAACTCCTCCGTGTTGGAAAATGTGCCGATAACCCTGCCAGAGTGACAGAAAAAAATGTCATTTAAAAAAAAAAAGAAAAAAAGCTCAACAAAATTCGGTCAAAGCTAGAGGATTGGAGTTGCTCGTCTACCGATGACAGCACTAACAGGTAACAAACAAACCACGAATTACCATTTTTGATGGCAGGGTTCATGCACTTTGCAGACGCAGTGAAAAAAATTTGAAGGATTTAACACTTTCAGAAGTTAAACTTGTTTGCAGTTTCAAGTGTTACATATGATGATGCCTTTTGTAAGAGGACTCCAAAACAAAATGAACAATAAAAGAATCAGTAAGAACCGAAATGTGGTTATTTCGACGATTCATTGTGTCAGCAAAAGCCATATTGTCTATTTGCCACTCGCAGTGACTGTTGAGGGCAGTCTGTGCATTTCCAAAGCAAAGAAGGTTTTATCTCCTCACACTAGGACCACATGATTCTGAGTAGGTTACTGTTGGACTTTATGTAGATTTGCTGATGTGAAAAAGCTTAGTAGTGCCAGTAGAGAAAAGATCTCACAGCTGTAGTTGGAATGTACGAGCCAGTATCCCAATCCGGCCCGATCTGAAGTGCACCCCCAATTGGCAAAAGAAAGACAGGTGGTTACCGGGTTCTTGTAGGCGTTCTGCTTGTACGCGTACGCAAAGACCATACATGCCGCAATCCGGTTCGTAAGTGTGACGTCACTTTAGTTTAAACCACGCCCACTGCACACGTGCACTGGACATAGGATTACATGCTTTGGGTGCGTTCGATTAGCTTCTCTGAATACACCATTTTACACCAAGGGAAGCCTCGAAATGAGGCTAATCGAACGCTGCAGCGTATTCACCAAGGCATTCTGGGAAAAAGGTCAAGTCCACGCTCGAACAGTCCACCCGTGACGTCATTACATTCGGGCAGCCTCCAGAGACCCGCTGGGGTAAGTGGCCGACACCAGGGCACGCACAAAGATCACGTAATTTCTAAACGAACGCTCTCGTGTAAAAGAGAAATATGGAAGGGCTGCGTAGCACCGTGATCAGAATATTGACAAGAATATATAATATCAAATCAGTGCTCTGAAATATGTAATTGCCGAGATTTCGGTAACTGAGCTCGGCAATTACATATTTCAGAGTGCTGATTTGATATTGTATATTGTGACGTGACAGAGGGCGCTAGTCACTAGGCACGGTGCAAAGATATAGATGGCGCTCTGCCCAGTAACAGAGGCAGATGTTAGGCGCGCATAGTGTTAAGCAAGCGCGGCACATAGGCTCCGCCTTGTGCGTTGTGCGATAGGGCAGCAGAAGTCACTGCTTAGTCACGTGAGCACGTGCGCGGGCGTGGTCAGAGCAGCGCGAAAGCTATAAAATGCGCGCGTAGGCTATGCTTAGTGGTCCTGATAAAGGGCTGATCCTGAGGTAAGGGTCAAGAATCCTGTGCAAGGGTTAAAGTCACCTAGCCTAGTGTGACTGTGCCTAAGTCCGAGTGGTGCGTGTGCTGTTGAGGGGCTCGGTAGGTTGAGGGGCTGATTGGTGGTGTGATATAGTTCCTGATAGGAGCTTGCGGTCGATGCAAGGGTGGATTGCTATCTCGTGACGTGAGTTGCGTGTAGCGCGCTAGCGCAGCCCTGACAATAAGCCCCGTAGACTTGCTAAAGTCCCTGATTCGGCACTGGATGCCCGCAATTAATTGTGGTGTTCACTGCTCTGGGTGAAGTCCAGCCACGTATAATCACGCAGTTTCCCCGCCAATAGCGCCCTCTACTGGTATATTGGTTGAGTGTGTTGATGAATAAACCAGCCGCTTGTTAATTGTTGTATACAAGTCAGGAGTCCAGGCGAAGTTTATTTCGAGTCAGGTCTGTCCGGGTTACGTTATTAAGTTTCGACCAATCAGATTAGCCATCATCTCGACGAAGACCAACTTTCTTGGGGGACGTTATACTTCGGTCCCAACGGACTCGTCCCTAGCCGCTCAGGGACTCTCCGGCGTGCCGTCCGACGCACCGCGCCTCGAGGAGGAGGGCGCCCTCGCCTTCGTCGGAGGGGCGCGGCGCTACAATATTCTTGTCGATATTTCGCTCTTGTGTGAGTTTGACTTACACGTGTAAGCTAATCGAACTCACCCATTGATCGCCGTTTACATGGAACCATGGAACCAGAAGTTAACGCGCATCTTCAGCTATCGTCCACTGGGAGTCTGCAAATCGTTGCGCGTTTGCCTTTGTGACGAAGTCACGAACCGGATAAATTCGTTTTAAACGTACTCATCGTGCTCCGCCTCGTGGCGTGCCTATGTGGTGAGTACCAAAAAAACCACGCCTTCTTTTGTTCTGCTCGGAGTGGATAGCACCGTAGTTATAAAGCAAAGTACAACTAAAGGTTTTTGAAATAGAGAAGGGATCAGCCTCTCAAAGGGAAGTTCCTTTCTCAGTCAAACGAGGTCTTCCGTCTCACCTGTATTTTCCTGGGGAGTGGGGGTCACTAAGTAGCTTCAACACGGCATGCTGCGGGGTGTCCAGTTTGCACCAGGTTTGCCCGGCCCCAATGAAGAAGATCTGCTCGGGGGTCATGTCTTGCAGTCCAGGGAGCCTGGTCTCCTTTCCCCCCTTCAGTTCCCTGTAGCTGTGGTAGGCTTGCAGTGCCAGCCTCAGGCCACCATTGTCGGCAATGTTTTCCCCCAGGGTCAGCAAACCGTTAACCTGGTTAAAAAAAGTTACGGATAGTACACGTACGCGTTTTAGAAGTGGTTTAATGGCTCATGCCACTGGCATGGTGTTCAAGATGTGCCAGGTTCTTATTCCGCTGAAGTCAATTTCTTAGAATGATGACATAGAAGTAGAGGAGGAAATCCTAAAAACGTGTATTTATATTCGGTTGCTTTGTGCACTTCTAGTTCTGAATTCGAAAATTAGATGGCTTCAATTGTACACCTTAGTAGATGTTTCTTCAACATGTATCTCCCCCTCCCCTTTCCCCACCCCCAGTTTGGATTATAAGGGCAAGACGTTAACAGGAATGGCAGAGATTGAGATTTCAAAGGATAATTACTGAATTGTGATGCTTTGGCTTAAGGAGAATCGGTGAAGTATCATGATTAAGAAAAATACAAAAGTGACTTTCTTAATTGTCGCATTAAAACAAGAACCTATGTTCTTTCTCTTTTTTAGGACGAAGGGTAATTGAGAAATTTCCGTTGACTTACATGTTTGTCGCCAATTTTGAAACTGCTGTACTGTTCTAGAACACACTGAGCACGCTCTTTGTACGCCTGGGCGGATGCATTCTTCCACCAATTGTGCAGATTGCCAACATCGTCATAATTGCGTCCTCGGTCGTCGAAGCCGTGTGTCAATTCATGACCGATAACCCAGCCGATACTTCCATAATTTATGGACCTGTGGATGATGATAGTGTTCATTTCAATTTCGGTAGGATTCTCAAGTCTTGGAGTGTGGATGCAGTCAGATAGAAACAACCCTTAGAATTATTCAAGGAGGTTGGAATCAGGGAACACTTAAGTGTTGTATCATGATGAGGCCATCACATTCCTCCGGACTTCTGACTTGTACGTAGCAAGTCATCCAGTCCAGTGTCCTCAAAACTACCCATATGAATTATGACAAAGCAGCTTTCTGAAACTGGGTCCTTTGCAACGGCGGGTTTGGGGTAACTTGGGCCACCCTTCCCTTTAAACAAATAATGAGATCATAGCCGAGGTCTATTTCAATCACCTTCCTTCAAAAAACATATAATGAGCCCAACAATGTAGCCTCAGCCCCCAGAAAGACCGTAAAAGATTACACACACAAAAATCAAAATGTTTTCCTCCCGTCCCCCCCCCAAACCCCGATTCCCCACTCCCACCCAAATATTTGGTTCTGGATCCACCCTTAATAGTCCTTTGCAACCTTAAAATAAAGTCCAGTCTCCAGACTCACGAAGGCAAGGCCGAGCTATAGAAGGGAAACTGAAGAATTCCAGCTGGGAAGACAATCTCGTTCATACTGGAGGTGTAGTAGGCATTGACTTCAGCAGGTACCATATCCCATCTGTATTACATCAGAAAAAAAGGACATCATTTGACATCTGTGTCCAGGGGAAATCCCAGAACATTCTTTTCAAATTCCAAATTCCAAAATCGATCATTTTGTTATCATTTTGAGATCACCTGCCACGTCTTATTCTCCGTACCCCTAGCTGTTTCATTAAGATTTCTGATGTATTTTCTCCCATTTTTTCAGAAATACGGGTTGGGGTTGGAATCCCATCCAGGTTAGTGTGGGTTTTGTTTTGTTGAGATCGATTTTTACTTAACGATTATGTTGCCTCTGAGGTTTTTTCCGTTTTTTAGGCTTTCTGAAATAACTATGCTGTCACTGGCTCCTCGAAACTTTTTTTGGGGTCATCACTAAAAATTTCAATAACAGGAACTATATTCAAGCTGTTTAAAAGGAATCGTGCCTATGTCTCATGGCCGGTTCATACTTGAACGCGTGCAAGCGAACACGAATTTCAAAGCAACTTTGCAACGTCTGTTTAAATACTGGCGTTGAGAATTCGTAAAAAAAATTTGAAGCCTTTTCAACTTGAGCGAAATTTTGTGATGTCAACTCGGATTCGCTTCGCCTTCACACTCAACTGTAGTGTGAAAGTAAAGGTCGCTTCACGCTACAGGCGAATGTGAAGTGAATTTGACGTCATGACAGATTTGCAGCGAAATTTCGCTCGAGTTAAAAGGTGTTAAACCTTTGAGAATGCGCTCTGCGTATGAACCGTCCCCCTTACTTTTTAGGCTAATATTTGGAAACTTTTCAAAAAATTTAAAAGTCAGGACTCTTGTACGTACTCCATTCTGTCGACCGGCTCACCGTACTTCGCCAGGTTCTTTTCTGAGTAAAACTTTCCAGCACTCAGTATGTTGTTGAAGAAGGACTTCGAGTTGACCATCAACTACAATGATGCCCAAAAAATGTGGGTAACTCATACTGACTTTGCTTTCAAAATTGGCACAATATAAATCGTTTTGACAGCAAATTCTGACATCAGTAAATTCTGACTCAAAGATTTTCCTGAGCTTACAGAAAAAGGCGAAAAAGCAACCCTAACCAAGATCCCAGACAGAAAAAAAAAACCTTTTCAAGATGTGCTTTGCGTCGGTGAGATGTTATGAATGTACATCATGAGTGTACGTAGGCCTATATGAATATACGTTGGGTAAGGGCAAAACCCGCCAGTGGAGTTAACATCTCCCCGACGCAAAGTGCATCTTGAAATAGTTCGCGGTACCCGCTGCTACATCTGACTCAGACCGGCCACCAGTCGCTGCCGACCTCAGCAAGCTCGATGGTTGAGTGGTTAAGACGTCTGCACTAAAAAGCATCGTGCTACTTTTTCTGGCCTACCTTGCTGTAGTAGTCGTCTATCCTGTTGGTATCTTCAAGCCAAGACGGGGCCACCAGTTTTTCCTGGATGGCCTGGGCCTTCTGCACGGCCAGCGATTTGGTGGTGTTGTCCATCCAGTCCACGCTGGGCAGTCTGTCGATGAATGTCTTGCGGACATTCTCGACTATGGCTTTGATCTGCATCGAACATAATCAGGAATCTTGGACTGAGACGGGTGGATTTCTTTAACATCGGAATTTGGCGTCTGAGTCCATGGCGATCATTCTGGACTGTAGGTTTCAGGAGGGCAGAGTTGTAATTTCTCGAGTCAACTGACTTGACTCGAGTCTGCCTCGAGTCACAATTTTGGCGACAAGACTCAACTCAAGTCCCGACGGGTACATGACTCGACTCGACTCTAGTCCCTCATCAGGAGACCCGGCTTGAGAGAAAATTTATAAGACTCGAGTACCAAAAATAACAGCAAACTTATTTTCGAAAAAAATATTTTCATTGTCGGTGTATACTGTTCGTGCCATGTGTTATTATTATCAAGAGAAAGATGTAGTATAAACCACATGCAGAAACCCAGTGGGAAGTTTTAAAATGCCCCAAACTACTTTCTTTCTCATTTTTTTTTATATAGTGTTTAAAAAGCGTTATAAATATTATCTCTTGAATTATGCCGAATCAGGTTGAATGTTGGAAAACAGAACACTTGGGCCTAGATACCTTGTCCTTGATTTCAAGACTGTGCCGTTTCCTCACAAACTCAGCACCGGTGGCGAAGCCCAACACTTGATTAGCTGAACCGGCGCAGGTCATCCAACGGGGAGCCACCGTCATAGTCCCGGTAAAAGCAGACGTAAATTCCAGCACGGCTTCCCGGTACGCCTGGGACAGCGACCCAGACAGCGATGCGACTAAGTTCCAGACCACGTAGTCATGGATGGTTCTATCAATGCAGAAATAACCCCATCACAATATTGCACACAATATCAATTCCACACTGAAACTTTGACTTTTTAATTTTGAAGGACAATTGGTGTAAGAAAGTATAGCATGTCCTCACATATGCTTGTTGTTTTATCTTCTTATTAAATTCTGTTTTTTTTAATTAAGTATAGATCTGGGTCCCCCGGAATGTTGAGGACACGTTTGTCCCATCTCGATATCGAGTCTGACTGCCGTAGCCTGATTACGGTTCTTCATCGCTAAAAATGTGCTTATGAAGCATCTAAGAAACAGTGATCATTAGGATAGGCCTTACAGTAAAAATGTTAAGGGCTCTAGGGACCAGAAAGGTCAATAGGCGTGGACAAAAACTTCAAATACATTCACTGACTCGAGCGTTTGGCGCGGGGTGAACGTCATACACGACTTCCACCTCGTCAAAACGTCATTTATTTGTTTATTTTTAAACGTATGGCGACTCTTTACTTCACCGCAGATTTCCGTCGTGAAATAACGAAAAGCGACAAAAATACTGAGCTGTCAGACGATTTATTTATTTATTTATTTATTTATTGGACTGTGCTTAAAATAACAAGCTATCAGACCACTTATCATTTTTTGGACTGTGCTGATAACACGTGAGCCTAAAGGCATCTGTTTTTTTTCTCTGCATCCTACCTCTGTGGTGTACGTTTGGTGAGTTCGTTCATTTTTGGAAAATATGACAAGGTCGGAACAAGGACCTCCTCGTCCATTGGTATCTCCCTGCCAAATACACCATTCACGTAGGACTGTACGTCAACCTGTTCCGTAAATAAAACTGACGTTTAGTGGTGTTCGAACATAAAATATCTGTGCTATATATCTGTGAAATATTAACAAGAAGAGTAAAATGCGGGCTCGTCTTTCCAAACAAAACAAAGATAAGGCCACTTCAGTTGGTGTGGCGTTGTTTTTGTAGCATAATGGGTCGTATGAATAAAAAGTAGCATTTGCTTTTACTACCATTTTTGAAGCATGTACTCGTGTTTGTATGAATAATAATGAAGCAAACGCCTTTACTTTATGCAATTGCTAAAAAGTAAAAG